CACACCCGTACACACACATACCTATGAAAGTGTACAGACGAGTATGAAAAACACAACAGCAGCCGCCACTCGCCATTAAATGACGGTGACGTCACCACGACGCTTGTGCCAGGCTAGGTGCACTTTGAGGCCACCTACGCATGTGCGGAGTTTCGGGGCACCTTTATTAGTTTATTTTCAGTAGTTTACAATTAAAAATAAAGTAATTAACGATATGCAACGGCGATTCCTAACGTGAGGGACAAAGCGAACCGCTGTCCCCATCTCCCCAAATACGGAGGTCAAACTCCGCCGATACATCGACGGCTCCTCGCTGGCAGGCAAAGGGACGGATCCCAATGTGGTTTGTGGGTTGACGGACCCCTGAGACAACTGGCAGACCCACCACCACCACCACCACCCGCGCTTCCCACTGCGCAAACTTTGCTGGCCTTTATCCGTCCAACGTTCAGAGTGGTGCTCGGCTCAGTTGCACATGGAGGCATCGCCTCGATGCCTCCATCTCCCGTTTAGAACCCCCACCCCCTCCGAGCCAGTGGTGGGACATTACACATTCCAAACGGCTGTGGGCTCTCTCCGTAGGATAGCCAACCGTCGAGTTTCCCCACACGAAGTGGTAAGTCGTCTTTTTTTATCAACCCAAGGGGGATGATGGGCTGTATAAACCCCCCGAAGCAGGAATTTGAATTCTCAAAAACATCCAATCGCGAGGACGTTCGCGCTACCCGCTAAGCCGGTTAATTGGACGTCTCGAGTTCGTCTTCCGCAACAACAACAACAACATCAAAAACCGTCGTTCGCCACTAATTAACGGTGGCGTCACCACGGCGCCTGTGCCAGGCTACGTGCACGTTAAGGCCACGGCGAAGTTGTCGAACGCCCGCTGGCAGGAAGGTGACGGGACAGACCCAGCAGGCGGGTGCCCAAGGGTCGCGCCTCTGCCCGCGGACGGTCCCAAATGGCGATGTTCTTCCGCGCGGGTCTCCGTCGACAGCGAGGCGTGCTTTGCGAAGGGCTCGCGGGGATCGTGGCGGTCAGAGCCGCAGGTGGCGATAGCCCAAAAACTGCGCGCCCAACACAGCAACGTTTGGTATTCACGCTCGCAGCTATCGTTAACCGCCGTTGATTTTGTTACGGCCCTGCAGTAATTTCGCAGTGCGTGGGGTGGTGGTGGGGGGGGGGGGGGGTGAACGCCGCTGCTCTGTGCTCCCCCCCTCCACTTACGGAGGCTTCTTTTTCGGGAATGTTTTGTTTCTAAATTGGGACCGTGACGCCGACACCACGTGGACTACCGCGCGTCTTTTTTTTTCTTCCTTCGAATAAACCCGTCAGGATCTTTAAACATCCACTCTAAAGCAGACGTACAATTGTGGGTTTAATACACCCGGCAGTATTAACCAGGGTCGCCATGTCTAATCCGAACCGCGAACCTCTCTCTTTGCTACCAAGCGGACACGCACGCTCCTACCCGCTGGTCTATGCCATGGCCCCACGCGCGTCCCAGGACCAGCCAGCGGTCCCAGATCGCTTTGCCAATCAACCACTGGACGAGGGCCTCTTCTCCCCACTCTATGGAGATCGTGGCGGGGGGTGGAGGTTATTTAAAAATTCTTCACCGCGCTGGTCAGTGCGGGTTGCAGGCGGGGAGCATCGAAGTAAGAAAAGTTAATCGCCTTCACTGTTCGCTGCCCACAACGCTGTCCCCCGCAGCTCTGTCTGTTCATCATGCACGTGTGGTTCATGCAAATGTAATGCCTTTGTAATACGTACAGTGAGGGAAAAAAGTATTTGATCCCCTGCTGATTTTGTACGTTTGCCCACTAACAAAGAAATTATCAGTCTATAATTTTAATGGTAGGTTTATTTGAACAGTGAGAGACAGAATAACAACAAAAATCCAGAAAAACGCATGTCAAAAATGTTATAAATTGATTTGCATTTTAATGAGGGAAATAAGTATTTGACCCCTCTGCAAAACATGACTTAATACTTAGTGGCAAAACCCTTGTTGGCAATCACAGAGGTCAGACGGTTCTTGTAGTTGGCCACCAGGTTTGCACACATCTCAAGAGGGATTTTGTTCCACTCCTCTTTGCAGATTTTCTCCAAGTCATTAAGGTTTCGAGGCTGACGTTTGGCAACTCGAACCTTCAGCTCCCTCCACAGATTTTCTATGGGATTAAGGTCTGGAGACTGGCTAGGCCACTCCAGAACCTTAATGTGCTTCTTCCTGAGCCACTCCTTTGTTGCCTTGGCCGTGTGTTTTGGGTCATTGTCATGCTGGAATACCCATCCACGACCCATTTTCAATGCCCTGGCTGAGCGAAGGAGGTTCTCACCAAAGATTTGACGATACATGCCCCCGTCCATCGTCCCTTTGATGCGGTGAAGTTGTCCTGTCCTCTTAGCAGAAAAACACCCCCAAAGCATAATGTTTCCACCTCCATGTTTGACGGTGGGAATGGTGTTCTTGGGGTCATAGGCAGCATTCCTCCTCCTCCAAACACGGCGAGTTGAGTTGATGCCAAAGAGCTCCATTTTGGTCTCATCTGATCACAACACTTTCACCCAGTTGTCCTCTGAATCATTCAGATGTTCATTGGCAAACTTCAGACGGGCATTTATATGTGCTTTCTTGAGCAGGGGGGCCTTGCGGGCGCTGCAGGATTTCAGTCCTTCACGGCGTAGTGTGTTACCAATTGTTCTCTTGGTGACTATGGTCCCAGCTGCCTTGAGATAAATTTCAAGATCCTCCCGTGTAGTTCTGGGCTGATTCCTCACCGTTCTCATGATCATTGCAACTCCACGAGGTGATATCTTGCATGGAGCCCCAGGCCGAGGGAGATTGACAGTTATTTTGTGTTTCTTCCATTTGAGAATAATCGCACCAACTGTTGTCACCTTCTCACCAAGCTGCTTGACAATGGTCTTGTAGCCCATTCCAGCCTTGTGTAGGTCTACAATCTTGTCCCTGACATCCTTGGAGAGCTCTTTGGTCTTGGCCATGGTGGAGTTTGGAATCTGATTGATTGATTGCTTCTGTGGACAGGTGTCTTTTATACAGGTAACAAGCTGAGATTAGGAGCACTCCCTTTTAAGAGTGTGCTCCCTTTAAGAGTGTGCTCCTAATCTCAACTCGTTATCTGTATGAAAGACACCTGGGAGCCAGAAAGCTTTATGATTGAGAGTGGGTCAAATACTTATTTCCCTCATTAAAATGCAAATCAATTTATACAATTTTTGACATGGGTTTTTCTGGATTTTGTTGTTGTTATTCTGTCTCTCACTGTTCAAATAAACCTACCATTAAAATTATAGACTGATCATTTCTTTGTCAGTGGGCAAACGTACAAAATCAGCAGGGGATTAAATACTTTTTTCCCTCACTGTATCTATTTGGCGTTTGCACGTCTTTACGCCTGTATTTATGCCAGAGAGGATTCAGTCGTTTTTTTATCATTCAAACATTTTAACAGATGTGCAACGGCTACGTCGGTACCACTTCCTCTCCGGCGGTCGGCAGACTACGGGACGGGAACCACAGCTCGACACGCAGCGAAACTGTCGAGGGTCGCCGTGGTGGTGAGATGTTATCTCCATCGCCCGGTATGCAGGAGGTCATGGGTTCGATCCCCGACGCTGGCGCCTACTGTATTTTTGGAGTTTCCGTGTCTCTCTTTCCGCGGTCGTGCGGATGAATCTCCGGGTCCCCCCCGGGGTTTCCCTCCACATTTAGAAACATGCGTTTAGAGTATTTTGCTGCTTTACATTTCCGCACGATAAGCCCGCTTCGTATGTGGCCAGGTCGCTTTCCGAAAAAGAGTTACATAACTCAAGTGAGCCTTACCTGGTAAAATAAAAAAAATACCTTAGTTTATTTCAAGTGCCTCGCTTCATTCAGTCATTCGCTCGAAACGACGCGGTTAAGAGGACAAATAAATCAATCCCGCGAGGACGAGCAGCAACCGCGTGCAGAGGAATTCTTCAACAACGGCTGTATGGTCGAGTGGAGCTGCGTGGTGGAGTGGAAGCTGCGTGATGGAGTGGAAGAGCTGCGTGGTGGAGTGGAAGCTGCGTGGTGGAGTGGAAGAGGCTCGTGGTGGAGTGGAAGCTGCGTGGTGGAGTGGAAGAGCTGCGTGGTGGAGTGGAAGCTGCGTGGTGGAGTGAAAGCTGCGTGGTGGAGTGGAAGCTGCGTGGTGGAGTGGAAGCTGCGTGGTGGAGTGGAAGTTGCGTGGTGGAGTGGAAACTGCGTGGTGGAGTGGAAGAGCCTCGTGGTGGAGTGGAAGAGCTGCGTGGTGGAGTGGAAGCTGCGTGGTGGAGTAGAAAGCTGTGTGATGGAGTTGAAGATCTGCGTGGTGGAGTGGAAGCTGCGTGGTGGAGTGGAAGCTGCGTGGTGGAGTGGAAGCTGCGTGGTGGAGTGGAAGCTGTGTGGTGGAGTGGAAGCTGCGTGGTGGAGTCGAAGCTGCGTGGTGGAGTGGAAGAGCCTCGTGGTGGAGTGGAAGCTGCGTGGTGGAGTGGAAGCTGCGTGGTGGAGTGGAAGCTGTGTGGTGGAGTGGAAGCTGCGTGGTGGAGTGGAAGAGCCTCGTGGTGGAGTGGAAGAGCCTCGTGGTGGAGTGGAAGCTGTGTGGTGGAGTAGAAGCTGTGTGGTGGAGTGGAAGCTGCGTGGTGGAGTGGAAACTGCGTGGTGGAGTGGAAGCTGCGTGGTGGAGTGGAAGCTGCGTGGAGTGGAAACTGCGTGGTGGAGTGGAAGCTGCGTGGTGGAGTGGAAGTTGTGTGGCGGAGTGGAAGCTGCGTGGTGGAGTGGAAGCTGTGTGGTGGAGTGGAAGCTGTGTGGTGGAGTGGAGGCTGCGTGGTGGATCCTCAAGTCTCAGAGCTCTTGTGCCCGAGGCGGAACGGCTCAGGGTGCAGAGATGCAACCAGACCACGGAAAAGCCCGTCACATCACTCGTCCTCATCATCATCATTCGAATCATCGATCACCATCGACAACCGCAAACACATTTTACTGTATAACAATGTTTATTATGCAAATCCAAAAATTGGACCATCTTCTGGCAATGTTAAAACGGTGAAATCATTACACGTTTTATACTACGTTCGAATACAGTAATTAACAGAAACAAAACGAAAAATCACCAACGTTCGTAGGCAAAATTAAAAATGAAATGTGACAACTTGCAAACGAGTTAACAGTGACGAGGTCAGAGACGTGCGACCCCTGCACCAGGGGCTGGGGGAACCTGGCCCCCAGCGCGCCAGGGCCGACGCGAGACTCGTCGCACAAATGTCATCGTACGCTCGGCTCCTCGGACGAAACAGAATGGTGCAGACGGACCTCACTAAAAACAAAAAAACACTTCTCTCATGCGCAGACGCCATGTGTGGAAAGAAAAAAAAATACCCTCCAACCCAACGTAACACCAAGTACAAAATATACAGCATAGGAATCTGCTGAATAGTGCATATGAACGACCACCGCACGTCTTGCACAAGGCCAAACAAGGGCCACCCACACGTCACTAAATGCACAAACAAGTCAGCCCGACTCCGAATCTACTGCTGCTTTAATTAGTCTCCCCATGGGTGCGCGCGCGCCTATGGGCTGCTATTGCACGAATATATAAGACAATAATTAAGGAGAATGGTGGATGAGCTTCACGCGTGCCCCCTGGCACGCTGTGGTTTGATGTTATAACGGGAGCTGGTGATTCAAGTTGAACAGATTTCTTCATTACAACAAACAACAAAAAACATTCTGTATCTATATAGTATGTAATAAAGAATAAAATTACCTTGTTTCGTTTTAAAACAATTGTTTCGCTAATACGCTTTTAAATTAATGGGCGAAGTTGTAGCCTCGGGTGAGTCCGCAGCAGCGCGCAGTGCGGCGCCAAACACCGAGCGAGCGCCGGCAGAGTCGGGCGGTGGGCATCTCGGGCGATCACTGGGCCCGTGCTCGGGCGATCGCTGCGCCCGCGACCGCCCGATCACTGGGCTCTTGATCACTGCGCCCGCGACCGCGCGATCACTGGGCTCTTGATCACTGCGCCCGCGACCGCGCGATCACTGGGCTCTTGATCACTGCGCCCGCGACCGCGCGATCACTGGGCTCTTGATCACTGCGCCCGCGACCGCGCGATCACTGGGCTCTTGATCACTGCGCCCGCGACCGCGCGATCACTGGGCTCTTGATCACTGCGCCCGCGACCGCGCGATCACTGGGCTCTTGATCACTGCGCCCGCGACCGCGCGATCACTGGGCTCTTGATCACTGCGCCCGCGACCGCGCGATCACTGGGCCCACGGTCGCTGCGTCCGCGATCGCAGAGGCAGCAATCCGGTAGCGGGTCAAAGCCACGCGGAGCGCCTCCCGATGGCAGTGTGGCTTCGCTGCAACGGGCGGACCCAGCTCAAGGCAACTGTTGCAAGCTGACGTTTAAAAGCATTCTGTCAGAGATTATTATTATGGGAGGTTATTGAAGTTTGTGGGGTTTTTTATTATTATTCTGCATTCTGGAGTGAAACGATACATGCCATTTGGTTTAAAAGGAACCGTACGATAAAACTGAACACTGGTTAACTGATTCCCACGATGTTTAACTTCAACGGTATATGTATACAGTATATATATAAAAACACTACAAAGGAAATCGCCGTTTGAGAACAAGCACAGCACAAACCAGCACTTCTCCAGAAAGAAAGCCATCCGGGGACCTGCCGTTACAGGAACACACCAATCAGCACGTGTTGCTCTTTTGGTTCTAGTTTATCATAGTTCTGATTGTAATGCCAAAAAGGTAAAAAATAAAAATAAAATCGATTGTCCCACTCTCGATCAATCAAACCCACCCATTTCCACCGTGCGCCCAGAGCACCCAGATCTCCGCACCCCACCCAAAGACTCACACGAATTCCATCGGGGGGCTGCTCGCCGGACGCCGTGCTCCGGCACACGCTCCGGCACACGCTCCGGCACACGCTCCGGCACACGCTCCGGCACACGCTCCGGCACACGCTCCGGCACACGCTCCGGCACACGCTCCGGCACACGCTCCGGCACACGCTCCGGCACACGCTCCGGCACACGCTCCGGCACACGCTCGGCCCCGCAGCGCCAAGCCACGCTATTTAATGCAGCAGTTTCACTGGCACGAAGCCATCACCATTCAAGTCCTCGCTGGCCCGCAGGCTACGGAAACAAAGGCAGGAATAGAGTCCTTGTTGGGCCATCAGCCTTCCGAGGCTATGAACCATTTGAACTCAACAGTTATTTATTTTTTGTCGATATTAATATATATTTTTTAACTGGGGGGGGTTTCCACCAGAGAACATGGGAATTCAGAGGCACAATTTGTTTGTTTGTTAGGCAAGCGTCGGAATTGTGTGCTTCAGGCCTCCAAAGGACTCGACTTCAATAACACACCCACCGTGCCTACGATTAAGGCATAATCTCGATATTCTCATTCACAGCGGCGCACCGCGCTCGAAAATAAATACGAGTGCATTTAACACAAAAACGTGCGAATGGGACGATTCAACGTGGGTGCATGTAGGCTCCTTACAGCCTCTTCATGCACACATGCCTGAGTCTAGATTACGGGCTTAAAATAGAGCAGATACGGACATCAAATGAGACAGCGGAGTTCACACGTTGGCAACACTTTGCGTGTCGACAAATTTAAAATACTGTACAGTTAAATCTCCTCAGAAATTGAGCAAATTACTTCAAATCGTTTTCGTATCACACAATATTGCCCGAGCCACTTTCAGGCCCAGGGAAAAACCACTTCATGTACGTAACACAGCTAACTCTAAGCACAATACCCTGATAGTGAATTCAGATCGACGCAAGAGACCAAATGCCAAACACTGTACCCTCTACAAGCTGGGGCTAATTCGGGCCTGTTTTGTCCACGCATTTGCCAAGAGGGTCCCTTCACGAGACGGCGAATACGAGTTGGCAGTCCCATGGACGCATCGCAGGGGTGGGTGCTGCTGAAAGTCACGAGCCCCCATCGGATCTGTGCCGTACGTTCGGGAATAAAAGCGGCGTCGTGGAGCCTCGGACTATTCGTGAAACTCCTCGCATTTCCAAGCGGCCTCACGTCCCAGCGACAGCAGCAGTAGCAGCAGCAGCAGCAGCAGCAGAAACATCGGCAGCGGTAGCTACAGTAGAGACAGGTGGTGACGTCCAGTCATGAAAGGAATTCATCCTTCGCGGCCTACAGAGTGTCCAGGTGGACCAACCGGTCGCGTCTGCGACGAAAACGCGCGCGCAATCCGCCTGGTCCCCGTGGCGCTCAGTCTCGAAGGAGCGGCGTCTTCATTTCTTGTCGATGGCGTTGAAGAACCACTCGGTGAACTTGCGCAGCTGCGTGGCCGCCGTCTGCGACTCCTGCTGCAGGCGCACGTTGTCCTCCCTCAGGTCCTCCAGCTCGGCCTGCAGCGCCGCCTTGTCCGTCTTCTCCTACGGAACGCGCCGGCGACGGCCGGCGGCGGGCAGCGCACGTGCGGGGTGAAAACACAGAGAGCGTCGCGCGACGGGGCGCCCGCGTTGTGGGGGGGGGGGGGCTCACAGCTCACGAGAGCCGGCGGGCAGGGGAGGTGACCGAGCAAGGCGATGAAGATTTCCGCGCGTGTACGGGAATGAAACATTCATCCAGACCGAGACGCCGAGGAGACCGACCCGGCTGGACGATGCAGAGACTTTTTTTTTCATTGCCCCACATTTGTGCATCACATTAAAGCGTGGGGGGTTATAAGTCACTGTGTGAAAAATAAATCAGCGCGACTGTGTTTACTTTGAATAACGTCCTCTCATAACACAACCCCTCTCACTCTCTCTCGTGTGTTCGGTATTCAACAAAGACCCTCCCCCCATCTGGCCTTAACACACTTGAGGGGCAAGTGCTGTTGGTGAGCACCTATTCGTTTGAGGTTGAGTCGACCTAGGGGAGGCTCAGGACCGGTTCAAGTAATCGTCACTGGTGCTGGACTTTCCTGTTCCCCTCCACTCCTATCTGCGGTGTTACAAATGTTACAGTGCCTGATGTTTCGCTTGAATCAAAAATGTTTTGTTTACGATAAATAACATTCGATAGGTATTTTTTTTTCCCGTTGCACAATTTGCTTTTAATCCACGCTGGTGCTTGAGTAACCCAGGTCTCCCTTAAAAGTGAGGCTTGGTGTCTCAGTAGGCTCTCACCTGGTTCAAAATCAAATTGTTCTATCTGCCTGTCCCCATCGCTCACTCGGTATGGGACTCCCGTTCCTGCACAGTGTCGTGGGACGCTAATGTGTTCACTCGAAAAAATGTAAACCCGGTTAGCGTCGCGTCAGTGTCGCGCAAACAGGTGCCAACATTCTCTGACAAACCTTCTGGAGGTCTTCCTGAAGCTGCTTCAAGATGCTCTCCAGCTGCCCGACTTTAACGGTGAGAGATTTAGGAGAGTCATCCCTGAAAAAAATAAAAATAACGATGCGTCTGCGACGATCCCATTAATCACCACGCACTGCTTGGCCCTGGGCCGCGGCCTTGCACAATGCCCTGGGTGCAACACGCGCGCAATTACCACGTGTTTGTGCATCTGACAGCACCGCACACGGCCTGCGAATGCGATTAAAACTGCATGAATCTGCGAAATGTAATTACGCTGTGGCAGTAATCGGAGCTAATTTTATTTCAGGTAGTTCTACGCGACCTTGCTACGCCTGGTTTTGAATAATGGCCGTGTGTAATGACGCAGGAAAGAGAATAAAATGTTGCATTAAACCCGAGAACACATTTACGTAATTTTGTCGAGTGGCGTTACGACCGAGGGCAATGCCGCGGGTTTCGGATTTTAAAAGGAGAGCGTGCCGAGCAGAAGTGGAGCCGAAAAAACACGTCAAATTAAAGTGCTGTGGAATCTAATGTGATACATGGCATAGCAATGCTTATTTTAAAATATTGCTCTTTTACCATGAGCTCCCTCTTTTCCACGAACCTCGTCTGAAGATGTGTACAATAAACAGACCATTTCAGTACGAATGTACTTTCAACCTGGGACGACTTCATATGAAACATAAAACTCAAGGCGTCTGCCAAACATCAGGGGCGGACTACAGAGCCTGAATCGTAACATCGGCGACTGTTTATTCCCCCCGCCCCCCCACCCCCCCCCCGATTATGACTACCATCAATGTTTCTCACGTTGCCGCGTTACATTTTTGTATTTGCGTCGAGTTCATTTTTGTTCCACCCCCACCACGGCCCTCGTCTCACAGACCACACTGGAAAAGCTGGACGCGAAAAGTAATTAATAAGCACCGCCCACCGGATTATCGGTAGTTAGCCAACAGACGCCACCCCCCGTTAGTAGAACGCCACAGGTCCGTAGGATTTAAGTATTTCCTGCCTCCACTGCCCCGACCGAAGCTTCCACCCCTCGTCCCCACAGATCGTAAAACAAACTGGAGGGGCTGACAGCTCCTGTGCAGTGTGGCCTTCAGCGAGGAGGGGGGGGGGGGGGGTGGGAAGGGGGAGGGCTGGCAGATAGTTTAGCACCGTGCGGAGATGGTTGACTAAAACACAAGTGGAACAGTTTGAAGGGGAACCGCTCGCATGCCTCAACAGCCTCCACGGAAGTGAGTCTCTCGTGGGATTCTCATCGCTTTTATTTCCGTTTGGAGGATGGCTCTTTTAGAGTCGCACTATATGAAACAGTTAGTAATGAAAATGGGAAATGTCCCCTGTAAAATGACCGAGAGCCTCTATTTCTCTGAGCTACGCCACTGCGCCGACAAGTTAATTCAAATGACAAACTTCCCATTCCCTGTGTCTGCGAGTTCAACTGCTCATTCTAAAAGCTCATTTAATCGAATCCTATTCGAGCCACCCAGTCTTTAGCCCCCTAACCATAGAACTCATCCGTCATAAGCGGGCCGGTTTAAAACGCAATTCCACGGAAGTTTAGCGGAGAGATGTTTTTGTGTTGTAAATTAGGTCTCGCTGCAAATACTGCCCAGCAGAAAAGGCATTGCCGACGCAGCAGTGAAGGCCTCTGCTGTAGCAGAGTTCCTGCAGGTGGGGTCCTCGTCACGTCCACGGTAAAAGCCGCCTCGACCTCGACTCTTTTCACAGCAGCCACGTTAGGGGAATTTAAGGTCACCAGATCCCAGGTCGCGACCTCTGTTCGTTAATTTTAATTAAAATATGCATCGAGACCAAAATACCACCGCAAGTAAATGGCTTCTGCTGTGCGTGTATTGTCCACACGCGTGCACACGCTCGCACACACTCACTCACACGCGAGCACTAATGTAATGCAGCACCTAAAATGGTGTTAGCGGACGAGACAACGTGTAAATGTTCGCCAGCGATAGTGCAAAGTGAGGATAGCCTTAGGAATAGAAGTTGACGACAGTGATGTGCAAACATTAAAATACAAAGCAGGGTGTCAACACATGCGATTGCAATTATTTGGGTAATGGTAGAAATACAATGAAGATAATCGCACATGAATTACTTCACCGAAGACGATGCATGAAGCGCTACAGCTACGAGCCGCACCGGACGCGTTTTACGCGTGGCTGAGATTTGAATGGAAGGTCCTGGGTCACGTGATGCTCGACAAGCCGGTGACTTAGCAGCCCCGTGACTGAGCGACACAACTCTGAATTTCCAGTGCTTAAAATGCACGGACGCACGGACAAGCCGTTGGGAATGACGGACAGGCAAATGGACGGACGGGTGGACTGGACGGACGGACGAACTGACGGGACCGAGCAAGCGGGGCTGCTCACCCCACGAGCGATGCCGAGGGAAGGTGGGCGTCTGCCTGGTCGCCCTCCGCCAACTCGGCGATGCAGCCCATGTCGTCCACGTCGAGCATCCCCCCCAGCACGCTCGTCACCCGCTGGTCTGCAGAGCGGGCAATGAGAACGGGCGGGTGGGGGGTGGGGGTCAAACGTGGGCAATCGACGACACATTGAGAAGAAGCCACACACTGTTTATACCGAAGCACTCGCATGGGACACCCCGGCTAGTGGGGACGGCAGACGTCCCCAGGTGCTAGGTGGGAATGGGGAATCCAATTCCACCCAGCTGACCGGCTAAACAGGATTTTTTTCCGGAGGAGCGGAATGTCGGCTTAAAGCGTAGCCGATGCGATCATCCGCGCTCGGTCGCTTGCGCAACTCTTGACCTTTCAACGAAACCTCTCACAGCAAAATTAACCCCCCCTCCCCCCTCCCCCCCCCGTGGCATCACCGCCACCGGTTCACACGGCGCGCGGGTATTGAAACGGCCGTGCAGGGGGGAGGAATGTCGCGCCTCTCCGTGCCGCGGAGAAGACGCGCACAATGGGAAGCATTGTAGCCCTGCTTAGCATCACCCCCCCGCCACCACCACCCCTTCCTCGTGCGCCTAAACCCCCACTCCCTGCATTCATCGAACATGACAGTTCTTAGGCAGCATGCAATTTTAATGTATTAACCAGAGAGAGAGAGAGAAAATCACGGTGAAAATGAAAATAAGACTTGGACAATTAATCAAACGGCGAGTTACTGACTGTCAGAATGTCTTCAAGATGTACATTTAATAAACAGCTGCTGCAATAATAAGCTTCCCCGTGACAAGCACTGACAAACGCATTTAATTGCCCAAAGCCTCATTTACATTTGCACTTTTTTTTCCCTTCTTCTTCCAGTGCACAGCAAACACACGGGTCGTTTAGTTGAGCGGAGAATGTCAGACGGCCATGGTGTTGGTGACCGGAGCTCGTTATCGACGAGCGAGCCGATGGCCCGTTGCCGTAGGTGTTGTTGTTAGATTGGTCTCAAGTTGGGTCCGTGACATTCACATTCATCTAAAATGCAAGTCGTAAAAAAAATGACCAATCGAAGATATTGAGATTCGCGAAACCCGATTTTCTTCTTTTTTAATACACAGACGACGGGCAAGACGCGAGACCGTAATATAAGCGTAGGCGAAGGAACCCGAAACAAATGTTATTGCGGGCGCGCGCGAAGTCTTCTCACGTTCCACAACCCAGGCCGAGAAGAGTGAGTCACACAATCGGAGAAACACAAGATACAAATTTTCACCGCACACAAGGCCCCCCCCCCCACCACCACCACCCTCCTGAGAGTTTGAGAGTTCACAGAATTTCAAGGGCGATTCAAAATACAGAAAGAGGGGGAGGGAGGGGGAGGGAGGAAAAACGAACTACCAACAGCACAGCACAGCAGGCTACGGGCAACGCAAGTACGTGACACGTCAGCCACAGAAGGCTCCGGAGATCGAGAGGGAAAAATAGCTCAGAAAGTATTTCAAACAGAAAAGCACTTCAGATGAGATCAGCATCTGTCATTGTGCGAGGGGATTGGGGGTCGACGGGTCACCTATCTCACTGCTCGCGCTGCCACAGCTGGAGGAGACGCTCATCACGTCTATGCCTACGGGGGACACACGCGGGGCGCCGTCGTCGGGAGGGGGTAAAAAAAAGGCAGAGGCCGCACCACGGTGTCAGCCACGGCAACCGCGACGGCCACGCCAGGTCAGCACGAGCACGATCGGAATTACCTGCGCCAGGGGCTTCCCAAACCCCAATCTTCGCAACTCGAAAGTGGAACGCCTTCTTCCACATCTACCAATTTACCTACTTTGAAATACTGATTCAGTTGTTGTACACTCCACGTGCCTGACGATTGCTAAAAAAAACACGTCCCACGTGACGTAAACAACGGCGAATCAAATTAACCGCCACCCGCGCGATCACATTGGGCGTCTTTAGCGGCCATCGGTCAACGTGTAAGATCGAGCGACTTTATTTTAATATGAACGGCGTTACATTGGTGAAGACGGAAGGTGTCCCGTGATGGCTCGCGAGGATTGGCGTTTTGGAAATTGCTGCCCTATGTCTACACCGCACGACAGAGGGGTTAAAAATGTGTCGAGTGGCACTAGGGTCGTGTGCATTCGCCAGGACTACTCAGACCATCACCTCCACCACTTTGTGGTCACATGGTCACCTCAATAAATGTGTTTTTCCCAACATAAGGAGCGGCCTGCCCTCAGTTCCTTTTACCCGGAACATCGGCTGGGCCATGCCGCTCAGCGCCAGCGTAGGTTTAACGGAGGCCTGCTTGCTCGCTTAGGGCCGTCTCGGGCAGTCTTGAAGGTGCAGACTCTTTAGTGTGGGGGGCGGGGGTTGATGACCCGCACGGTGACTCGCGCACACAGGCACACACCGGATCCATCGCCCTTCAAGGCGTCCTTGCCTCGTGCAGATGCGTAATCAATATTCCCCCTCGTGTGACACTTCATGCTGCTCTTTTGTTTCATTCCCAATCCGCAGAACTGCAGGGGGTCACACACCTGCAACACTCGGTTCCACGCGGCGTGCATCCGACGCGCTCCGCACCCACACCGCGCACCCCACACACCCCACACACACCCCACACACACCCCACACACGCACACCCCCCACACGCCACCGCACCAAACCCACGCGCCTTCACGATGAACCCCGGGTTCCGGGCTACGCTAGCTGGGCGAGTAATTACGCGGCGCGTAACGAGGACACCTCGCGTAGCGGCACGGCACGGCACGGCGGTAATGAGAACGGACGAGCGCGTGGCCGTCACTCACGGGTCATGCATTTTATCCAACTCGCTCGGAGAGCCATGCCAAGGGTCAGCTCGCGACCAATTAGCAGCACGGACAAAAAAAAAAAACCACACCAGCGGCAATTACCTTCCACGAAGAGAGTGTAAGAGAGTTCTACGAAGGAAAAAAAAATCACAAGTGAGACGTTTCTCGTTTTTGACGGCCCCACTGGCACCGTGAGTGCAACTCTAATGAGCTGGCACCGCCACCGCCGCTTGCACCGGGCGCCAACGGGAGCCGTGCGGGAACTCGCTCGCTCGCTCGCTCCAGAAATGTCAGCAAATCGGTTTCATCTCCCGACACTTAGAAACTTCGCCGCACTCCGTTGCGACTCGCTGTTCAAATTAATAAAAAACAAATTGAATGGAGCCGGGGGGATTTTTTCAGAGCACGCAACACGTCTCCGGCGAAATAATTCCGTAGCAGTTTATTTTAATTCCGGGTGTGCTTTGAATTCTTGAGGGCTGTCCAAAATTACTTCCCCACTGCATTTCATCAACGAACCTTGACGTGGATGCAACAAGCGAAAGCTGCCACAGCCGGCAAGATGCGAAACTTCTTACGCGTTCGTTATACGCGGTGCCAAGCTCTGCAGCATGTGTGTACAGTGCCAAAATGGTAAAACTGCTAATGAAGTAACAAAATATACCCTGCGAGTGTGCGCATGTGAAATACATTAAATGTGCGCGTGCACACAGGGGACTGCAGATATTTTTAGCGTCTCTTGAGGCTCGAAAGAGCGTTGGAATGCTGCCGGCAATAAAAGTCATCCGTCCGCATAGGCGGCCCCGAGCCAATAGTATACATTCCACATTCCTATGACAGGGGCTATTCTGAGTATTTATAAACACGGTAAGCGTGGGGCGAGCGGGAGCTGTGGAGCAGTAGTGATCGCTTTGCGATACTAACCTGGCGGCGAGCGATAACCGAATCGCTCCTGGGCCTCCCGCCCCTTCACAAACCCACACGACCGGCGAGGTGAAGTATAGTTAAACAACCGGGATGGAGTGTGGAGGCCTTCTTCCAGAGGTGGACGAATCAATGGCTGTGAACTATTATTTTCATCATAAGGACGAAATACGCTGTCAACTATTGCTTTTTGCTGTATTCCATCGCACGTATGAAGCATATTAGATGCACACAGTTGGCCGGGGGCGTCTGGACGCCGCCGTCACACCGGACGTCTCAAACGTGTCCCACCCTCCCCCCCGCACGGAGCCGTGGCCACGTGGGGGCGGCGCTCACCTTCGAAGGCGCGCGCCGCGTCCACCAGAGTCGCCCACTCGAGGCCCGCGGCCGCGTCGGGCAGCGGCAGCAGCTCCTCCACGTCGCGCACGGCCAGACGCGGCAGCGACTCCTCCGAGCCCGACGAGTCCACTGCGACGGCAAGCAGGCGGGCACGCGGGGATTACGGTCGGCGACGGGACGAGGTGCAAGCGGGACGCGAGATGCGACGCGCATTGACGGCGAGCGGCACGGCATGGTACACAGGACAAAGTTCCCCCGTGTAGCCTTAACCGAGTGCTGGGGCAAGTGCTGTTAGCGAGGCACCTATGAAGGCCGGGATGGCACACGAGGGGGTGGGTGGGCCAGCACCACGCCCGGTCCACCTTTGTCTCCACAGTGGCGATGTTAACACACCGCACCAGGTACACATTTTAGGCCGGATCGACCTAGGGGAGGCCCAGGACCATTTCCGATAATCGCTGTCGCTGGCAGTGGCCGCGAGTGGGAGTCGAACTCGGGAACCCGGGTTCGCAGCGGCACAAGGCGAGGTATTGCACGGCGCGGAACGTGGCGTAACGGGCACGAGCCGCAGCGGGGGGGTGGGGGGGCGGGGGGGGGGGCATCCGCACCGGAGAGCCCCGACATGCGGCAAGCGGGCAGCACGGCGTGGGAGGGCGGTGGCGCGTGGCCAGGGAACCCCGGCGGCAGGAGGTAGTCGCCCACGGGCGCCGCTTGCTCGAGGAGAGAGCCGCGCGCGCCGCCCACGCAGCCGTCGCGCTGGCACAGGCTCTCGTCCGAGTGCGTCCGCTGCAGCCGCCTGCGGGCCATCGCCGGGGTCTGCTCCAGCGACAGCTGCATGCGCAGCGGGAGGGAGTCGGGGTGGGTGGCGGGGGACAGCGGTGGGGGGGGGGGTTAGGGGAAGGCGCGGAAGCCAATAGATGTCGGTCAGGCGGCGTCTCGACGAGGCCGCTCTGGCGCGCCTCGAAGCAATGCGGCCGCATTCCACGCGCTCTGTATCTCTGGGTCAAAGTGTCACGTACGTACGCACGTTGAACTTCTTCCGCACCGCACGTAGCCAACCGTGCTAATCGGAGGTGTGGGGGAAGGACAACAAACTCGGGAAGCCGATGCAAGGTGCTGTTGGCCGCTGGGGAGGCCTGCTGGTACTCGGCAAAGATTCTTCGGTTCATCAGACTGAATTTGCTAATTGCGGTCATGATATGCGCGCATCCAATCGTGTGCGCGAGAATTGATTAGTTAAAGGCGGGCAGAGATGACGTGCAAATGTTATTTTTAGGCTGCCGATTTAATGAGATGGAACGTGAGACAGACGATGGGATTGAGAAGGACAGTAAAGGTGAGAGAGTACAAGTGAGACAAGGAGAGAATCGATTCGTGCATCTCAAAGGTGACCCACATCTCGGAACCATTCATCATATCTCAGGAGCGGTTGAATCGTGCCCAATTTGCGAATAGAGGCTGCAGAGAGATTCCTCCAGTGTCTGCGGAATCTTACAGGGCAAGGGAATCGAGCCTGGAGATCCAGTGTGTGAGCGTGCGTCTATGTATGTTGAACTTCTTCCACACCTTACGTAGCCAACCGTGCTAATCAGAGGTGGGTGTATTGGGGAGTGGTGGAGCAGCGGTTAGCGCGCTGTGCTACAAACCAGGCAACCCGAGTTCGATTCCTGTTCACGACCAACACCAGTGACGATTATCTGAACTGGTCCTGGGCCTCCCCTAGGTCAACTCAGCCTCAACTCGGTAGACAAATGTGGCCGGGCGTCGTCCTGGCCACCCACCCCCTCGTGTGCCGTTCCGGTCTGCATTAGGTGCTCGCTAAAAGCACTTGCCCCAACAGTCTGTGAAGGCGCTACAGGGGCTCTTTGTTTGTATGTGTGTGTGCTGCATCGCCACTCCAGACTCTTCAATATTGGTTCAAGGGCACGGCATTATGTTATCCTTTGCTTCTTTGAATCACATTAGCCGCGTGGTAATGGACACAAGTAAACACTGCCGAGTGGCTCCGAGGACGAATTGAGCTCTGTGCGTTTTCTCCGCGGTGTTAATTTGCACAAATGATGACCAGGCTCCGAGAAAGCAGCTCAGAAATGTTTGCGCTGCACAGTCTATGAAAACATCGATACATTAAAACCTCCGAATGTGTTTTTTTGTTGTGCTTCCCCACTGTGGACACGCAGTCACTGCGGACACGCAGTCACTACTAACAGTCACTACCAACACGCAGTCATTATGAACACACAATCGCTACGAACACAACATCTCAGATTAGGACGGTTGGCTACGTACGGTGCAAAAGAAGTTCAACACACGGCAGACACGCAAACATGACCGCGCACACACAGACACACGCTCACCCACGCACACACGCCAGCGAATGTGGACCAACAAGCGAAGAGCAGCCGTAGGCGTGGGGACGAGCGACGGACCTCATCGCGAATGCGCATCCTGCCGTGGGACGACACCGACTCCGGGATCCCGTCGGACGCAGCCTCCGCCTCGGCTTTCCGCAGCGATCGCGCGGTGGCTGTGGCGCGCTGCCTGGCCCACGAGACGGTGTCGCTGACGTCGCTGCCCAGACGCCTGGCGCGCGCACCGTGAGATACGGCGGCCACCGACCGGCGCGTGAACCAAGGGGGGCGGGGGCGGGGGCGGAGGGGGGGAGCAGTCAGTTCCGCGGAGCAACGTGTTAAACCCATTGTGTGAGCGTGCTCACACGCACCCCTCCCACGCCCCGCCCCGCACATGCGCCGACCTAATGCGCTAATGGGGTCGTGCGTTGCCTCGTGACCAATTACCCCACGAGCCACCGAAAAAATTAAATTATACCGTGCATGGGGCATGGGAGTGGACGTAAAGCTCGGGGGAGCGAGACACACACCAGGCCCTCCGCCCCGACCTGCCATGACCTCATCGTGCAGCGGTTCACGTGGCTGTGAACTCCACACAGCAGCACTGAACAAGGACCGCCAGAGGAGGTTATAAAAAGGTTTTGAGGTTGATACGCACTTACTCGGCGTAAGACGATTCATCGGTTCACTGAGCGAGTGGATTCTTTCGCTCGCAATATGCGTCTCGAATCGCGTTTGGAAAAAGATACCTCACTTGGGATCTACACGCCATTTGCCAATATACCTGGGGACGGATAGAAATAACCCAGAGCAACGAACACGGTACACGTACGGCACGGACAAGATGAACGTGGCAGCACAAACGAGATAGATACGAGTGGACTATTGACTCGAGTCACGACCCTGAATTGCGACCATTCATTGAATCTCCAGGGGTGTGAATTATTCCAGGCGTAGTTCCCACCAGGAGGTGCTAGTACTTTAGCACTGTGGTGGCACACGCATGTGGTGCACACGCGCATGGAGTGCACGCGCCTGTAGTGCACATGCCTGCAGTGCACATGCCTGCAGTGCACATGCCTGCAGTGCACACGCATGTAATGCACACGCCTGTAATGCACACGCCTGTAGTGCCCAGTTGTAGGGGTGGGGTGGTGTGGATGGCGTGCCGTTCATTCTGGGTGAAACTCACAACAGCCTGCGAGGCGACGAGGTGAACACTCGATGGCAGTATAGCGAGCAGATTTCAAATTGTCAAGTCACCCGACCTTATTCCAGGGACGTGCGGTCAGGGGAGGCAGGGGAGGCAGAGCCTCACCTGTTATACTCCAATGAAAATAGCTGTTACGAATTTTTAAAAAAAGATTTTTCCGCTGATCTGTGTTATAAATGTCATTTGTGCACGATTACAATCATTTTTACTGCCAAAATATGTCACTACATTGGTGACATATTCCCAATATTATGATAACATTAGTCACCAATGTACTCATTACATTGGTGACATACAGAGAGATAGTAACAGGCACGCACTTATTGCCCGCGCTCCATCCAGTTACTGAGGGGTCGCGCAATCAGAGGGGAGGCTGAGCTCGTCACTGCCTCACCTCTCGTCTCTTCCTGTTTTTGCAGCGGAGCTCAGTAAATTTGGCGATGTTTACTATAAAACTGATTGGAATCGTACAGAAATTACATTTATAACACAGATCAGTGGAAGAATCTTGATATTTATTTAATTTGATTATTTTTTACTTTTCGTAACAGCTATTTTCATTGGAGTATGACGGGTGAGGCTCTGCCTTCCCTGCCTCCCCTGATCGCACGTCCCTGCCTTATTCAGAAGAAATATGTAGACCCGTGGGACAAATTTCAATACTCTCATTTATGCTAAGTTGCACCCCAAATAATGCATTGGGAGCAAAAAATTCCAATATCTTCCTTCCTTCTAAGTGACAGAAAAGCACCTGCGATGATATTTTCACTCGGGCCTGTTATTTGTTTGGTGTGGATGTGCGTAGCGCGGTTATTAATATCATAACGTTACCGGCAGCGTCGTTACCTAGATGTCCCGACAAAAACGGTCGCGAGGCCGATAGCGTCAAAACGCCTGCGTAGAGTAGCACACACGCGGTTCCCCCACAGCTGTGCACTCCATTTACTTGATGAATATCCAATTTAAAATGACGAATGGCCAAACAGTCGCACCACGCTGACACCATCCATCATCGCAGGCGGAACGCGATGTACTCGGGCACGGGGCTCGAAATTACCTGGCCCTAGCGCCTCCTCCATCGTCGCTGTCCCCGCGCCGAGAGACAAACGAACTCCGTGCACAGCTACATCTCTCTATCTCCCTCTCTACCTCTCTCCGCGAACGTACTTTATGTTCGGCTGCGAAGAGCACGTCTTGTGCGATCGAAAAGAAACGAAGGCAAATAACCTCCCTATGGCATTACAACATAATACATGTCTTCAAATAGTCATTATAATGCAATTCCGGAAACCCACCGTGTGATCGCCCATGTACGTACTGCACGCGAACGTCCCGTCTTTGCCTCTGTGTCACGGTACCTGCGGTTCTCGCTGCTGTTGGGGCTCTCGGGCTTTTTCCACCCCCTCAGGTAGCTTCCGCTGGCGCCCTGGCGCGGGTAGAAGGGGGGACCCACGCCCCCAACGCCCCGGCCCTCCTCGCCCAGGGAGCTCTTGCTGCGAGCGCGCGTGCCTGGGCTGCTGCCGGTGTGCCGCGAGGTACTGCAGTGCGCGACAAGGGCGGGGGTCAGGGGGCGTGGGCGGTGAGTGGGGGGGGGGGGATGAGACAAGCCACTCGGAATTGGTCAATCAGGAAAATAATCAACACGTGTATAAAAGTATCGGCAAGTGTGTGAAGCAGGCTGTACGGTCAGTGTTTTGAGACACAGGCGCGTCATTCGTGAAGCCCCATGATGAAGCATGGCAACAGCTCCCAGTGAGCCCGACGGGCAGCATGCAGGGCAATGCTGGAATAAACCAGGTGGCTCTGCTTCAAGAGGGAGCCCCACCTGCCAGGCACCCAGCGTCACCCCCACCAGAAGCCACCCTGTGGACCCTAGCCAATCTATCGCCTCCGCGTACCCGCACGAATGGGAACACAAACGGCGCCTCAACTGTGCCGGCATGGGGAGACGATAGTTTGTGCCGCTACAAGAAAGAATCAGCAGTAGCAGCTGCAGCAGCAGCAGCAGCAGCGCTTGCCATCCCAACGGCGTGTCGCCAGTCGCGTGCTGCTGCTGTGCCACACACACGTTGCAGGGAAATTGAGCGCAAGCCGAAATCTCACCTGGCCAGGTTGCACCCAATGGCTGCCCTGCCGGAGTTCACAAATGGAGCTCAAGGCACTTCTGTGCCAATCGCATCGTTACAGAGAAACTGTACGGAGTTTCCCTTTCAATCGCACGCTTAACTGCGGTGTCTGTGGGACTCGTTTTAAAAACCATTAAATTAAAAAAGATCTTGCCTATAAGGCCTGCTTGCACGCAAAATTGGTACGAAAAGCAACCGAGACGATTGCACGGGGAGAGAATTCGCGCGACCGAAACACAGGCGCAAGCACTGGTGGTGGCGGCGGTCGATTGCAATGTCTGGAAAGGAAGCCAACCCTGGCTTCCTTGAGACCTCTCCCATGATGCAATGTGCCCATGCACCATCATGACCGCGCTGCTATGAACTGCATCGGCGCGCTGATTTACCGAACGAATTCTACGTTTCCAAAGGCGTGGAACATTCTGGATGAAGATAAGAGGTTGAGAACTTCTGAAAATCTGACAAAGACGGCAGACACAGCAGCACAATGAGAATCCTGTACACTCTTGACTGTACCTGACTGTGAATAGCAGGGTCAGAATATCACGTGCTAACTCTATATCTTGTGCACGCGTGCAAATTGCTTAAATATTTTCAGCGTTAAGTGCGAGTCATTATTTACAACTACATTCCGAGTCCGGAGTAAAAAAAAAAAATCTTCCTTTTATTTGGTGACAATGAACAAAGATGACAAAACTTAAACAAAAAGTGCAGCCGACATCGATTGGGAGCGGTGGGGCGGAGGAGGGAAGCGACCTCGTACCTGGACTGGGAAGGAATGTTGGAGGGACTCCCAGAATGCAGTGGGCTGCCGTGTGACCGCGCCGTCCCTCTGTCGTCGCGGCCGCCCCCCCCCCTGTGCGCGCGTTCCCCGGCCGCCCTGTGGGCGCCGCTCCCGTCCCCCCGGGCGGCGCGGGCCGAGGCGTGGCCCGAGGCGAGCGGCGTGCCGCGTGGCGTCGCCGTGTCGATGCCGCTGTCCGTGGACGTTCCCGGCGCCGTCAGCTGCTGGGAAGTGATGGAGACCGCCACGGCGCCGCCGCCGCCGCCGCCGCCACCACCGGAGGCCGCGTCCCGGTCCGACGGGGCGCCGTCGCTCGGGTGAAACCAGCGGTCGTCGCTGGCGCAGCTCGAGCCCGTGCTGGACAGCGTGTTGCTGCTCGAGTGGCTGGAGTAGCGGTGCTCCACGGCCTGCGGACAGACGTGGGCGAGGCGGCGTCTTGGGTCGCGTCGCCGGTGCCGGCACCAAATCGAAGCCTGCGGTGCTTTCCACTGGCCGTCAAGGTCGACGGTGCACGCGTGCGTCGAGTTTCAGAGTAAAAAGTGTATTTAAAATAATCCTCCGCATTTTCAGTTTAGGTAAACCAGCCAAATGTGCAAAACACTTTAGTTTTAAAATCTCACAATTTACAAATTGCTCTCCCGGCGGTGGCGAGCCGGATGTTGTTGGACGCTGCACCTCCGGTCTCAGCGACACGGAAACCGTGCTCACTGCCTGAGCCTGGTTAAACGACTATTGCATTGAGGATTAATAACCCCGATCGCTCAATGCGATCCACAGACGCGCATTAAGAATGTAGAATATCGGCGCGGCTCCACTGCCAAATGTTGCGTAAATTGCTTACAAGCCGTGTGTTCGCTCAAGCGCAAAAGTTGCCACTTTAAACGGCACCGCACGTGCCATGTGGGTTCAGTGCTGCAATTCAATTTAGAAATGCATTTGAGAATGGAATGGGGCTACCTTCTCCCCCCCCCCCCCCCCCCCCCCCGCGAAACCCCTCTCTCTAGACCCACAGGTCTCTTGCACCGGCACACACAAATTCCACATCTCTGCTGCCCATGTATAATTCACCACCCTGCCAGATGCCTCGTCAGCACTACCGTCCCTGACGCCATCAGACTGAACCGAAATCCACTTAGAGCAGCTCTATGCAGACTGTGGCAATCGAGAGAGAGAGATCTCATCGCAAGCAAAATTTAAACGATAACAATGGGAAGGACGCCTAACGGGTCACCCCAACTATTATTTAGTAAAAACATTTTTTTGTAACATAAATGTTATTTGCGGCACTGTGGTAATCTATATATATTAAAGGGAAATTTGTGAATGTGTGTCTGTTCGAAATCTTTAGCATTCTTCCCAACATGCAACAAACTTTAAATTTGGCATGTGGGTAAACAATGCAAAAAATACAATAGACTTTTGTATTTTGGGGGGGGGGGGGGGGGCGGCGCAATAATGGATATATTTGCACGGCAAGTGAGCGGTGACGTCACATCTGTGATGTCACCTGCATGCGGCAGCGTTACGCAGTGTGCCTGCTGACGTCAGGCATCCCCACCCCCACCCTCCACGTAGGCCGTGTATTAATCCAAGACAAGAATCCAAGCCTCGGGCAAAGCGGGTAAGTAAAGCTAGTATGAAATACGAAGGGGCAGGATTCACATAGCAAAGTTGCAATAACTCATTACAGGCTTTGCCACGCGATCCGTTGTTTAGTCTTACCCGTGCGGCACGGTTCACGAGGCGTACTGCACTTCATGGCTGTCGCTAAGTTTAATCCCGAGAACAAACGTGACACGGAGCCCGCAGTGGAGGCCGCGAGAAGGGGGATGGGGGCAAACGTTGCACTCAAGGGCTGCACCGCTATGCGGGTAGCTGCGCCACTGCCACGGCCAGGGACAGATAACGCGCCCCGCGCAGCAACTCAAACGCGACGACGGACGACCCCGCCGCCTACCCTTGCGCACGCTCCACTCGTCTCGAGTTGATTACAAAGGAGAAAAACTTGTTTTCTAAAAGTATTAAATATCAAGGGCAGGCGAGTCTCAATATTAGCCCATCCGTCCTGGTGCATCGCCGCCGTGCCGGCATTGGCGCAGTCGGATGAGCAGTAACGAGGGAGATACCTGAAGCTCGCGCGGGGATCAGTGTTTTTGAAACATTGTCAGGACGGGCCCCAGAGCGGGCTCGAGATACCGAGATGTCCATCTCACTGGGGAGGAGATGCGGCGCACGGCCACGGTGCTGCGGGAATCGTCCTGGAATGCGCACGCAATCGCTTTTGTTTTGACAATCAGCCTCGTGACAAAGCAGCCCTATTCTCTCGGGAGCAACGCTGACTTGGTCGAGCAACGCGGACCACGATGGTAATTTTCTTCAAACGCCCACAGGCAACGAAACCAAAGCGCGCTGCACTAAAATTATCGAGGCGGCCGGGGTGGCTCAGAGGTCAGCGCACCGAGCTGTGAACCGAAGTTCACATCCGGGTATCAGCCACCTGTGATTAAACAAGGTCCTCGTGTGCAGTGAGTTGTGCACGGACAAAAAAACCACCATGTTAAATTTGACCCTGCACTTAAAATGTATCAAATTCTAGATATGACCATTAATAACATTAGTTTGACTATCGCACGATGAACGTTTGTCTTTGTATCAGGCAGGGGCGGAACGTTCTGCGATATATCTCCTTTAATTAAAAAGGTAAATTATGGCGGCCGGGAATTGGACTTCATGTCTGAACTGTTATGGGACAAGAAGCTCATCAAGCTGAAGATACTCCAACCGTAGTAATTTTTTGTTGTTAAATCTCCAGACATCTCAACAGGTAACCATGAGACCTTTTAATTCCTGCCGATTCCACAAGCCAGCTTCCTCGGATTGACTGCTCAGTGATCATCATCTTGGTGGGGATCTTTCCTTGCCCATAATTTTTTCGATATTTAAATACCTCCATCCGTAGGCTGCTCTCTAAGAGTTGTGTGCTATTTCGGAAGGCGCTCTTAATCGATTCTTCATTTCCTGACGCCCTGAGTCATACTGGGATTAAATTGGGAGCAAAGAGAAAATAAAGAAAGATTTGAATCAATGGTTTGTGTAAATCCGGCAAATAAAAACGTCATTCTCAAGACTTTGTAGAGAAATAACCTGCTTCAAAATAACAACCAAAGAATCAAGTGGTAGCAAAAACGAGCATATCAAGTTTCAAGGAGGTCGATTGTTTTCTGAAAATGTTTGGGCGAAATGGTAGCTATTAACCCAATTAATTTATCGAATGAAAACACAGCCGTTGCCGTTGACTTTCCCAAAAAAATGGTACTCGTTTTATCCACCCTGGAGAAATAACGATGATGAGCTGCATGGACCCCCCCCGCCTCCCACCCCCCCAACTGAGATTTGTATTCACAACCTTCCACGTACAAGCAAAACGCTCTAAACGCAGCGCTACAGATAAATACTGTATATAAACATTAAGAAGTCAAGTTATCACCCATCATTAATTAACACGAAGAGCAATAAGAGCGGGGGGGGGGGGGGGGGGGGGGGGGATCATCCGAGTGCCGAACAGCAGGGATAAGCGGTAATTGCCTGGGCGAGCATGCCACACGAATCTCATCTCAAGCCGCTTGATTTGTGGTCCGCTAATTCAAGCTCCAGCAGAGAATGACCTTTATCATGGTGCTCAACGTATTGTACCTTTTGCGGTAACATTTACCCTGGAATCAGTGAAATGAGCGGTGCCCTCGTGTCGGATGTTCGCAAACCCTGGAAGGACGCGCGCGAAAAGTACGCACGCGCGCGTGTGCACGTGTGTGTGTGTGTATCTGTGTGTGTGTGTCTGTGTGGGGAGCAGCAGTGTAGCAATTATCGCGCTGCGCTATGAACCCGGCGACCCGGGTTCAATTCCCGCTCACGGCCAACACCAGTGACGATTAATTATCTGAACCGGTGCTGGGCCTCCACTAGGCCGACTCTGCCTCAAATGAGTACCTGGTGCGGTGTGTAAACATCGCCACTGGGGAGACAAAGGCGGCCGGGCGTGGCGCTGGCCACGCCACCCGCCGCGCTCCGCGCTGGCTTTAATTGGCACTCGCTTACGAGCACGATACCCAACAATCTGTTCAAGGCTACACGAGGAATCTTCCGGCTTTGCATGGCTCTCACTGCCAAATCGCATCAAGGCACCCTCCTGCCCTACCTCAGGGCAAATACGGCGGTCTTGGCCGAGTGAGACGGCTCTCCCCGCTGGCTGCCCCCACGGATCCCTCTTCCCGGCCCCCCACGGGTAACGCTGGCTGAGGGTAATGGAGCGCGAGGGGCTAAAAAGGGAAAGAGGCAGCCGGCCTGCCTATTGCAGATTATTTTACATCATTAGAGCTTCTGTATGCCTTTTGAAGGCCGCCCCCCCCGCCCCCTCGAGTGCAGCTGTTTTGACAAACCGCTCGCTGTTGGGGCAGGTCAGAGATAAAAGGAGCGCCCCCCTCAAGCAGGGCTGGGCGTGCCGTTTGAAATCCTGAGGTAAGGAATGACGCGACCTGAAAACAAAGACACAGCCTCGTTTATTTATTTGGCGTCGTCACCGATAACGAAGTGGCCAAGGAGTCGACGCTTGGCCACGCGGCACTGCGGCAGCGGGCACAAGCCGCAGCCGAAACGGGGTGGGGGATCGACTCTGACCTATCATCTCATCGTGGCTGATAAAATGGATAGCACTTTGTGGAAAATCAATGAATGTTAGATGCTGGAGAAGCTGATCCTCACAAAAACGTGGACTACCCTCACGCATGTGGGCTTCCTCCGGACGCTCCGCTTTTCTTCATTAATTGTCTGAAAACATCTTTATATATAGAGGACTGCGCACTGCTTGGGCAATTGATGGCTCTGGCTCACCGCCTGGCTGCCCTTCCTGCTTGTCTGTGGTTCCTGTGTGAGGTGCGTTACAAGTTTGGATCAACAACATTTTCAACTCATTGAAGCATGATTATTATCCGTCAGAAAATTATCGCTCTGTGGTTTCGCGTGACGTCTGCTGCTCATCGCACCGCCCCCGCACACCACGGCCGTACAGTTGCAACACTGCACCACGCTACCTGTGCCGCCCTGCCCGGCGAGTCCCTCCCGTTGGCATCCTGGCGTGACACCCGGCGAGTGGGGCTGTCCCGGTAAGACGACGGCACCTTCCCCGCCGGCACGTGCCACATGGGCTCTGCAAGGGACGACACCGACACACCGGCCACCGCCATCAGCGTGGTGACGTTCATCGCGAGGAGGAGTGGGAGGGAAACAAAGGAAGCCGAATGAGAAACGATAACTCACCGAGCCCCGAAAATGAACGCAGCACGCGAGGGCTGCAGAGCCGCCGCTGGGTTTGTGAAGCTGTGGCAGCACGGACGGCTGCCCCCGAAAAGGCAACCGCGCACTGGCGTCGTTAAAGGACGCAGGAGGACCCATTCGTGACGTGAATCTTAATGTCCATTAAACAAAAATAAAGGGGCCGGCGGTGGCTGCAGCTGTGGCCAACGATCCTTGCACACCCCGATGAGTGTAACCAAACACGTCTGCATACTACGCAAAGTAACTCTACACGGAAAACAGCAATTTATGCGGGGAAGCATTAGTTACAAGAGACTTTTTTTTTTCCCCCCAAGGAGTTCTACAAACCGGAACGCTTGCCAATCTCTCACGAGTACGTTTGAATGCAGGAAGGAATGCCCATCGCGACGGGCAAAAATCCACACAGAGGCCAGGAAGCCATTTTCGCTGGTCTGCGATCAAATAACTATGACGACAAAATGCGAGAAATTGTTCTCACATCTGAAACGTCGCGCTGGCGGAGAGTTTCAGGTGTGGGATTAGGCACGGGTTCTCGTTTGTGCGTCGCCGCGCCGCAGAGAACGCCGGGGTCAAGCGAGTGCGCTCGGGGCTCACAGAAGCCAAATCCGGGGCGGCGCGCAGCCCCCAGTTATAAACCACCGCGGCACGCAACGATTTGTCCAACGCTACAATCGGCAGCACGAGCGCACTCAATCCGGACAAATGCGCGAAATGCGAAGGTCACGTCGAGTTTGAGTGCGCGGCACTCGCTCGCGTTCGTGAAACGCCGGATTGCGCAATTATTATTATTTATTACATTTGGCAATCGCGCCAGACTTACAACGCAGGGCCGTCACGAATTACGGCGCTGTATTTCATGTAAGTACTTTATTTTTTTTTACGAATTAACATCCACGCAATCCTAGATTTGAAGCTTTCGTGACTGCAAGGATCCATACTCTTTGGTTCTATTCGGTAAAGTCACGTAGGTAAAAAATAAAACAACAAAAATCAGGACGTTTCGGCCACAACACCCCAAAACATATACCTGTAGATGATATCATCTCTAAGGTCGATGTAGCCCTCAAAGGCGTAGGACACATCCAAGCAGACGTTGGGAGAGCTGAAATAGCCACTATTCTTAAGAATGCTAAGAAACCCATTAGCAACATCAGCAAAAATGAACGCTCTGAACTCGCGAATTTAAAAAACAGAAATGATATAGTCATCCTCTCAGCCGACAAAGGCAACGCTACTGTAATTATGGATAAAGATTCATACAACAACAAAATCCAGAACCTTCTCAATGATGGAAGTTACTCAAAAATTTTAAATGACTCTACTAATAGCCTAACGATAAAAAACAAGATCATCACAAGTTCGACCTCCCTAATCGAACCAACGAAACGTCCCTCCCTAAAACCTTCTGCTGCAAGACCCCCTAGATTCTATGGCCTCCCCAAGATTCATAAAGAAGGTACCCCACTACGACCCATCGTATCCACGATAAACTCCCCTACCTATAAGCTAGCACGTTTTCTGTCAGATACCTTGCTACCTTTCACTGGCAAGACCTCCTCAGCAGTACTTAACTCAGCCCAATTGGTCTCTATGGTCAAAGACGTTGTACTGTCCCCTGACGATATCCTTGTCAGCTTCAATGTGGTCTCTCTGTTCACCAAGATCCCAGTACCTGATACCATTGAAATAATTGAAAATTTGGTACAACATGGACTAGACCCCGATACACCTGCGCTGGTTAGGCACTGCCTCACCAATACCTACTTTACTTGGAATGGCACCTTCTACAAACAAAATGAGGGTACCCCCATGGGTTATCCCTTGTCACCAGTGATAGCCAATGTTTTCATGGAGGAATTTGAATCAGACACCATCCAGACTTCCACCCTCAGACGTTCCCTGTGGAAGAGATATGAAGACGACACTTTCGTCATTTGGCCACATGGCCTTCCAGATTTAAACCTTTTCCTACACCACATCAATTCCAGATATCCCGCCATCAAATTCACCATGGAAGTGGAGAAAGATGGCAAGCTGCCATTCTTGGATGTTTTGTTTGAGAGGAGACCTGATGGCTCATTGGGACATTCTGTCTACAGGAAACCCACCCACACAGATTCCTACTTGAAACCTGATTCCCACCACCACCCAACTCAAAAGAATTCTCTCATCAAAACGTTATACCACAGGGCTCATTGCATTTCGGACCAACACCACCTGACTAGTGAATTAAAACATGTACATCTGGCCCTCAAGAGAAACGGATACTCTGACCGTACCATCCGCCAAGCTGTTTCTTCCTCCATACAGAAACAACCACTTGATACTCCGATCAAAACCATCACACTACCATATATAGCAGGCATTACTAAAAAGATTTTCAAAATTCTAAACAAACACAAGATCCTGGTCCGGTTCAATACAGTACACAAAATTCGTGATCTGATCCCATCCGTGAAGGATGTCATTCCTGACTTACAGTACTCCGGGGTTTACAAATTGAGCTGCACTTGTGGTGATTGCTATATCGGGGGAGACGAAACGACATGTCTCTGACCGAATTCGCGAGCACAAATCAGATTTGAAACACGGCAGAACGAATTCTTCTGCCGTAGCTGACCACTGCTACAACGCTGTTGGTGATCACGATATAGTTTCCTCCGATACCAAGGTCCTTTGTAAACCCACGGGTTTTCATCAGAGATTTATCCATGAGGCAATTCATATTTACAAACACAGACACAATTTCAACCGAGAAGATGGTTTCAAATTAAGCAACCATTGGAAAGATGTTCTAAATCATACCAAACATTAAACTAATTTTCAATGGTATTTATCAAATAGTGATATACCAAACTTTCATAGAAGCTTATTTCACTTCACACCTACATTTGTAAACTCCCCCCCCCCCGTGCCGGTCCTCTATGTTCCACTTCACACCCCCTCCCCCCCTCCGTGCCGGTCCTCTTGTGCTTTACGGTCATTTTATGCTAATTCCTTTGTCAAAGCGTTTTGTTTCCTCCCACACAGCTTAAAAGGATGCGACCTGGGCTGGACTGTCTTCACTCCAACGCTGTCCTCGTGACAGTACGGTCCCCTTAACCTGATGAAGGCCACTTGTGTTGTGGCCAAAACGTCGTGATTTTTGTTGTTTTATTTTTTACCTACGTGACTTTACCGAATAGAACCAAAGAGTATCCACGCAATCCTCGACGTGAGCATCCTCCTGATGCTCTTCTCATGGCTGAGAGAAGATTGCTCACTGCAGAGGCTTACACGTAGGTGCCCACTTTTAATGCCAGAAAATATTTAGCAAAAATATACTGGATGGCCCAAAAGTCAGGACACATATGGTCATGTCATTTATGTTAATACTGGCATTAAAATGTTTAATTGCTTATTATTTAAGTGAATATTGCATCTATTAATGCAAATCATATATATTTTTCTTCTTCCTGTGGAGTCACCTCAAATCCATCGTTTACAAAACTCCACCAAGAACCCCGAATGAATTGAGGCGAAACAAAATTGATGTTCAGAGATTACACCTGTAATCGTACCAAAAAACCCCACCTTAAATTAATTTCAAAACACAATTCATTCATGCACGATTGTTCAATGAAGTCGGTCTGAACACGTCAAGATGAACATGACCCTATTTATCCACCCCCCACTGCCTCCGAGCTCACGAGTGGCTACGTCGCGAGCTCGGCTCGCTCTCCCTGCATCCCACGAGGAGGCCGCCCGTGCGACTCTCGGGCAAAAGCGCCCACGCCGTTTCGGGCGACTGCTGGGTCAACGAGGCGGCCGAGTGACGGGGACGGAGGCAGGCGCCACCCCACCATGCGTCAAAATCCCCCCCCCCACCCCCACAATCACGAGAAGCGGCCGCTGCTATTGCGCAGTAGCGCATCGTGTCCGCGTAATCGTGACCTCGGTGGCTATTGCTCTCCCGGCGCATCACGCAATAGCACGCCTCTGCTGCGAGCTTCAACGCCGATGGAAATGCATCGTATAATCTGGGATGCCAAGACCGCCGTTTGTTCAATGCCGATGATACAAACCCGAGGCGACGGACGAGAATGTAAATTGACAGCTGACATTTATCGTTCGAGTGGCTGAGAAATGGATGCAATCAAAAACAGCGCGCGCTGACCGTGCAGCCTTGCGCGAGATCCTCTGCTCTTGTGCCGGCCCCAGACAGCTGGCATCGGCCAGCTGACCGGAGCTCGGTTGGCTGATTGTTTCACGATGCTGAATTATTAATGAATGTTCAAATGTCATACAAAATCAGAATGCTGGGTCGATTTCAGGGTAGGGTGAGAGCGAATGCGGTTGGAGTGCAGCCTAAACCCGCTCGGTGTTGGGGATAAGCAGAAGTGGCACGGTCAAACCCTTTCTCCCCTCCACTCAGGGTCCATCCCCTCCCAACCGAAGCTGCGATCTTAAGCGGAGATGACTCATAAATGGCGTAAGTCGCGTTTCCAGGATCGATAGGAGGCAATGGTGAATTAATTACGTTAGGGTTGTGCTCGTAATTGAGAAAAGCCGATTGTGGCCGATGAGTCAGCGGGGCCTGGAGTGCGATTATCAGCACTGTTGCACCCACCAATTGATTTCGGCTTCTCCCTCTCGAGGGTTCCGCTGCGACTCCTCGTGCCTTCGTCCACGCTCATCTCAGTGTCAACCGCGTCCTGGCAGACGGACGCCGGCATTTTCTGGCTAAAAAGAGGCAGGCGAAACACGCACACAGATAAATAAATATATGTACACATATGCAAAAAAAACGAATTATAAAGAGACAATAAATTCCTACCAAGACGCAGCAAGGTCATGCAATTGGCGTCACCATAATTGCACGTGCAATTATCAATTTGCTCAATGAACCGCCGTGATGCGGATTGCGCCGTTTGCACGCAAGTCACGGAGGCGAAGCAATGGCGTCGGGGGCCCCCCCCCCCCCGAACGTGGGGGGGGGGGGGGCACCTGCACACCGTGCCTACGGAGACGACGGCTGTCATCCTCGTCCTTCGGTGATGACGGCGATGGTGACGATGACGATAACAACGGTGATGCCGATGAAAGTGGTGTTTCTCCCCACGCTCCCACCGGCACTCTTGCCGTTTTTAGTACCGAGATATGAGACGAATACATTTTGACGGGAGCCCTGGCAGCAGCTGCCGCTGCACCCCCCCCCCCCCCCCCCCCCCCCCCCCCGTGTCGGATGAGGGCCTTGGAAGGTTGCTCCACAGAACTACTGCTGAAGCCGCTTCAATAAGACAGGCATCTTTATATGCACAGCAAATAATGTTCATCGCATACGAATTGTAGCTAGGATTATAATTCTCCCAGCTGGAAAACGCCAATTTCATCTACAAAGCAAGCATGACACGGTGATTCTTTGTGGGTATCTAAAACCCAGGGTGTCCCAACAATGTTGGCTTGGTACTGCGACTCTCCTGATATTCACTCGGCCACCTCAACGATGATGGAGACAATGTAGATCATTAATTATCATATCGATGACAAAAGTCAATGGTAACGATGTCGACGATAAAAAACAATGTCGACGCCGTTGACGACGACGACGACAACGGCGGTCGTGATGTCGATGTCATTAACGACGACGGGATCCTTCGCCAGTGACGACGAGGAGGTGCTGACGCCTGTCGAAATGCGGGGCCGAGTTGCGCGCACGGCGCGTACCCGTCGGGCGTGGGCCTCTGCCTGCGCGAGGGCCCCGCGTCTCCCGGCAGGGCGAGCGCGCACGGGGAGCCCCGGTGCGGCGCGTGCCGCTCCGCTCCGACGGGCCGGCCGTCCACCGCCGTCGCCCCCCTGGCGAGGCGGGGGAGGGTACGGGGCGGCGTGGGAGAAGCGGGAAGGTGCGGCGAGGACGCGCAAGGACGCGGAGGAGCGCGGAGAGCGGGGCGACAGGATGGGCGAGGGGAAAGGACAAAGGGATGCAGAAAGGCGGCAGGGCAGATAAGGAGACATTAATGTAACGGCCACCACCCACGTCGCGTTATCAGACATTTGCCCCGAACCATTTTAGAGCCTGCTTTTATCCGTGCCTCGCAAAGCTTCAGATAAAATCGTTACAACGGCAATCAATCTTCCACCTGCCACTAACACAGATTTCCACTTAGCAGACTTAGCCGGCGCTTTCAAGCCACGGCGGGATTTCCCAGTGTTACCAAAAGCTGAATGATGTTGAGCCAAAACGCATGAACCTTGATTAGTCATGCAACAAAACCGCCACTAAAATCAACGCGGGCGCCGTTTGCTTTCTTGTGGGCGAGGCTCTTGTCACTCGTCACCGACTCCTGCTATCGGCGGTGCTAAAAGCCCAGCCCACTAGCACCGAGGGCACCGGACATGGCGCCAAGCCTCAACTATTACAGCAGCCGAGGGTGGGCATCGCACACCAGACCCTCCGTGGCTCGCCGGCCCGCCCGCCCGCCCGCCCGGTTACCGTGATTAGCGAGGCGAGAAATACCACAAACTATCAAGCATGTGAAGCGCAATGTGAAATGTAGATATCGCCGTATTATCATGGCAAGCAATGATGCATTGATTCCAATCGACGCTTGAGCTCACGATACACGCAACGAAGCGTGTGCGTGAGGATCGATGGCATACACATTGCGCAAATTGCATGCCGTTATCTTTAAGCTGATGTCGCAAACAGTAAAAACGAGATGTTAAAAATAATACTGAGAACATTAGTTGACGTATCGAATCACGATTTTGTAACCATGGCAATTCTCTGGAATCGCCGCGGGATTGAATGGCACTCGGCTATCGTAAACCCCAAAGTTAACGGAGCATAATTTATGTACCCACAAGTTACGCAAATGACAGATCGCGGCTGCACGTGTAGTCGTGCGCAAGTTAAAAATTGTTCCGCAAAATACATTTATAGCCGACACTAAGTGCGCGCACGTACAGGGGGGCAGCACCACCATTGTCTCCGAGTAAACAGGGCTGAAAGAAAGCAGTGGCAGATTGTCCGTGTGCCGAGACGGTGAGTCACGTCCGTTCACGCGTGGAGTGCGGTGCTCGAAGGCAGCACCGTCAGCCCCTCTTCTCTCCCGTTTCCGAGATAACGAAAAAAATCCCCCCACTCCAATCCGACGCGTCCGACCATCACGCGTGCGTCAGATATGGTCCCCGGGAGTTTTGGCCACAGGAAAGAAAAGAAAAAAACAACACCCCGGCACGACCGCCTGGCTTCTGAACAAGAGCTCGGTGCCGTAGTATGCGCCGGGCGAGTTGAAAATATTGTCATGCTATGTTTGATGCCGACGCACCAATGGCGCAATCCTGGATGAAAACGACGCTCGAGTCTTTCTGCGTCACTTCCGAGCTACAGCTGCCTCGGGTAACAGTCGGAGAGAAATTCCTGCAACGACGCTGTTCCTCCATTCGAGCGAGATTATAAGCGGACCAAGGCCATCTTCATTACACCGAGGCAATAATGAGACGTGCAAGCCGCAGACCTGCATGTGAGCCAAAAAAATGTGGCGAATGTAATGCACGTAAAGAGGATTAAAAAGTTTGGAATAAAATACACTTATTAGGAAAAGCTACATTCGACGAGCTTATCAGACGAGCCTACTGAGAAGACAGCTCCAATCACGCGTTACATTGAGAGCAGTTTTGCAACTTGGGCTTCGGTTTATTTTTTGCGGTATCGAAATTGCGGATTAAAAAAAAAAACCTCATTCCAGATTTCTATTTAAATCCAAAGAATACGTGCGCCAGCTTCACGCAAGAGCACATTTCAGGCAGACACCAATTACAAAGTATTTACAGCCAGTTGATGAGATACTTTGAAAAAAAATCGCAACTTTGTTGCGTTTAATATGTATTTTAACAAAAAATTGGAATTTTCTCGACGGCAAACTAAGCCAGTGTCAGCGGCATGGAAATGTAAACAAACATCTGCAGGCCGAAGATATGCAATTGGGTGACATGAACTGTTCAAGACTGGCTGCCCATTATTATTGACGCTCTGGAAGCTGCCACTGCTGCTGCTGTTGCTGCTGCTAAACCCAAGAGCAATCACACGAAGGCTGCATGCATTTGCTATAAGTTTTTTGTCTCATATCGGAGGTGCAGTTTCCACAAAAGCTGGGCTTAATTGGCAGCGCTTGCGACCTTGATAGATTGTTTAATCTTGTACCGCAGCACGGAGGAGACCAATTTGTGATCTGTCATGATGCATGTCGAGAGGTACAGTCTTGCCACCTACAAATTTACGGAATAACTTTGAAGTATTATACCGACAGCAAAATCATCGCCATCATTGTTACGTGCATCATTTTAAACGCGATCAACACCCTAAGACGAGAGAGCAAGAGTCTCGGGTCTCGGGCGAGACCTGCGCGCGAGGATATTCCCGTTGTAATCGTGGCGTTGAACATTTGCTGTATGTTGTAAAAAATATTCCTGTGGGACCCCCCCCTTTACAAATTGCACCAATTAATAGTAAATGTAAAATGGAGACCCTTCACAACAAAGCAATGAGATTAATTAACCCTCGGAACGTTCCAATTTCTAGATTGAATTAACGCTGGCCGCAAATCCACAAGGAGACGTACGGCACGGGACCATCGGCTTCACCGGACACCAGCCAGCCAGACGTTACCTCCATTACCCTGACAAATGCACGCATGGTGGGAACTCCTCACACTACCGGAGGCAGCTAACATCTCTGTTGATAGGCCTGAGCCAGTGGTGGAAATTCCACATTCTTGTGGCGAGGACCAGTGTATCCATAACAAAGATCCCCCATATAGCCTTAACAGACTGTAGGGGCAAGTGCTGTTAGCGAGCACCTATGAAGGCCGGAACGGTACACGAGGGGGTGGGTGGCCAGCACCACGCCCGACCGCCTTTGTCTCCCCAGTGGCGATGTTTTACACACCGCACCAGGTACTCATTTGAGGCTGAGTCGACCTAGGGGAGGCCCGGGACCGGTTCAGATAATCGTCACTGATGTTGGCCGTGAGCGGGAATCGAATCCGGGTCGCCAGGTTCATAGCGCAGCGCGCTAACCGCTACACTATCGCTCCCCACATTCTTGTGGCGAGGACCAGTGTATCCATAACACTACCACCACCACCACCGTTGGCGTCCCACACAGCGATACTCATTTCATCGATCGAGGAGTCGACGACCCGACCGGGATTTCGAACATGAAAACCCTTCCCATCGATTGGGTCTTTTGGTAAAGTCATGTAGATAGAGGTTCAAAGAAAATAACACAAAATAACAAAAAGCTACGACGTTTCGATCGCAACACAGGCGTTCGTCATCAGGAAGATGGGGTTAGCTTCTAAAGGTAAACTGTTTATAAAGGTTTAGAAGCTAACCCCCCTCTTCCTGATGACGAACGCTTGTGTTGCGATCCAAACGTCAGTTGTTTTTTTGTAATTTTTTTGTTATATTCTTTGAACCTATCTACGTGACTTTACCGAAAGATCCAAAGAATATGAATTCCTGCAGTCGCGAAAGCTTTGAGTCAAGACCTTCCCATCGAGTCAATCGCTCTGCCGACGGGCAACCTTTAATTGTGAATGAGCCACAGGCAGCCCCCCCAGGAGACTCGATCACTGGCCGTGCCCCCCCAGAACCCACCCCGCCGCGTCACGCCGCGTCACACCTCTTGCCGCTCTCGGCCGCCTTGCCGTCGACGGAGAAGCTCCGCGGGATGGCGCCCTGGCCCTGGGCCGAGAGGATAAGTCCGTGCGGCGGCTGCGCCTGCATCGGCGACAGGGCCTGCGAGTGGTGCGGGGGCAACGTCGACGGGTGCTGCACCAGCAGCGGCGGTTGGCGCGGCGAAGAGCCGACGGCGGAGGGGCCCTTGCGGGCGCCGGGCGAGGGCGCGTGACCCGAGGTCGGCGACGGCGCAGAGCCCGCGGTGGGCGTCGCGCGCTGCCACACGGGGGCCTTGAAGGGCGTACGGTTCACGTCGAAGGGCGCGCCCGCCTCTCCGAACTTGTACTCCATCATGGGCACGCGGCAGTGCTCCGAGCAGCCCCTGCGACAAGAGTCAGGCGCGAGGGCCGCGTCGCCCGTCAATGGCACCTCCGAGCCTTCGAAACGAGGCGGCGCACGTACGCGCAGGCCGCGACAACACAAAGGGGGCCGCGTCGTGAGCTCCATTACATCCCTAGCAAATTAAATCAATAACAATCTCGCACGGGTGTAATGAAGACGTATGAACGGATTTGTTCGTGTCTTTGTGATTAATTTAAGAGCAGCGTCCGGCTTTAAATTCGACAGCAGGCGAAGGCCGTTTTTCTTTGCTTGTGTCTCCCCCTCTTCATAACCTGACCAAGAAAAGCCACGGGAAAAAAAAAAAAACAATTGCAGTCTTGCATTCCACAGCCTCCTGGGTGCATGTTTCCCCCAGCCTGGAGTCAGACATGTTACTGAAATGACCAACTCAAAATGCCACACAGATCTGGCCAATTCCCCCGGCAGCGGCACGGAGGAGGAGGTAATGCAATCGGGGCCACGCCGCCCGAGCCGGGGATTACAACGCGGGCGGCTCGAGTCCGCAAATTGGCGGTAGCGGCGGTGTTGGAGCTCATGTCGGGAGGCGGGGGGGGGGGGGGGGGAGGATTGCGTGACGGGGATAATAATCCTGGCTCTGAGAAAGCGGCTCACAAGCAAATGCTCTGCGCTTATCGGGCCCGCGGCAGGGCAAGCTAAACCCTCCGGTGTGTTGAGGCAAAACAATGAGCGCGTGCTTGAAGCAAAACATCACCCACCGCCAAGCAAAGCAAATGACTAAGCCGCCAAAACAAAGGGATTAAGGAGAGGCACTCGCCTTGAAAAGGCGTTTCGTTTCCTATGCAGAGCAGGTGGAGGAGAAACGGTCCGGAGCTAAGCACTAGAAAACAGCATCGATATTGGTCGAGCACGCGTCAAGAGAGGAAATAGCCCTGGCGTTCAGCCATTATTGGGTAATTCAAAGTACTCTGTTGTCGCAGGTAATTCAGAAAAGAGTGGGATGAATGGAAGGGCCTTTTGGAAGAACACATCCAGCGGTCTTCTGGGAAAACACCGTCCGCTCTCAAGGGGCATGCATGCCGGCCGAACGGCGTCTTTTAGCCAAGGGATTCAGCCAGCCCCGGAGAGTTGATAACGATTCACTCCCAACGCGGACGCCGGGGCCCGTACGAGCGGCAATTTTATTCGCGGCCAACCGCACGAAAAGCCGGTGACAATGCCCCTGTGCGTGCGTGCGTGTGACCGAGCGGTGGCTTGACTGCGTGTGGGGGAGCAACGGGGGCACACCCGGAAATCTGAGTTTGATCCCTGGTCGTGGCTAACCTCAACGGTGAGTGATATCTGAACTTGTCCTGCCACCCCGGCCTCCCCCCGGCTTACAAACCCAAACGGGGCGGCGTGGTGAAGTGCGCATGACCGACACAGCGCAGGGAGAACCCTTCGTCCGGCAGTGCCTGGACAAAGACCTGGAAATTATGATATAATTATTGCAAGTTATTATTTTAACAGCACTAGCCCTGGAGATCTGCATCTCTGCATGGGTGATCTTTGCTTGCATCTTTATGTTTCCATGCAAGCGCCCATGAGGATTGTACGACTCCTGATGTGTGCCAACAGCGGACTCCTTGCAGCCCCTTTCGCCAGCTCTAAATCAACACGAAGAATCACTGTGCACCGGATTTATTTAACCACGACCGATGCCTGCAATCGTTATTTCAGCCAGTCGCCGTTTCAACGTCTACCAGTCTCCGAGGCCTCGTGACTTCTGCGCTATGCGAATCATAAATTTCCCCTCTTTAAACATATGCAAAGTTTTTTTATTGTGTGCGTGTGTGTGTGACGCACTATAACTCTTTTTGTGTTCAAAGTTTAAATTGCTTGGCATGCAGGTCAGCCCACACACAGACTTCCAGCGAGCTCTGCCTGGGTCAGTGCACCCCCCCCAGCCCCCCCCCCCCCCGGGAGGAAAAGGCGCGTCTGATTTGTGAGCCACGCTCGGAACTCTCGCTCATTGTTCCAGATCCTGTCCAATACAATTTGCAGGCTGTGGGCCGCCGTACGTACAAGCCGGCCCAACCAGCCATTATTCCTGATTGAATTATGCTTCCTTTTTTGTTATACAGTCGGTAGAAGCGAACCCCCGACTTCAATATACTTTGAATACAAAAGTTAATTAATGCACGGAATCAAAAATCCATTTTGCAAAGCAAAACCCGGTCCAATTTTTCGTGCGCAGTTTTGCTCAAATTGACGTTTGCTGCACGAAGCGTTTAAACGTAGCCCTATTTGCGATGTTTGCCAGCACTTTACAAGCAGTGTCGTTCAGGGCATTGAAAAGTGGATTTGGCAAGTTCTCGCTTGCAAAGAAGATAAACTATTTTTAATTTTACCAGATAAGGCCCACTGACCTCTATATCTCTTTTTCAGAAGAGACCTGGCCGCAAATAATAGCCCAACGAAGTGGCTTATCATGTGGAACGTTATAGCAGCCAAATTACTCTTCGCGAATGTTTCCAAATGTGTAAGGAAAAAAACGGAGAACCTGGAGAAAAATCCATGCGACCACGGGGAGAACATGCAAACTCCAAATATACAGCAGGCGTCAGGGTCGGGGATGAAACCTCCGACCTCCTGTATATCAGGCGAGGTAGTTAACATCTCACTATGATAGCATCTCAATGAGCTCTAAACACATTATCATTGAAAACCGTGTCTGAAATGGATAGTATAATCATATTGGTCACAGCAATTGGGGGAATCACATTTAAAATGTGATCACTCTAACACAGGGTGGTGTGGCAGTGGTTAGTGCACTAAGAAACTGGGCCCCTGAGTTCGATTCCCAGCCACAGCTAACGTAGCGGCAAGTGATTTCTGAACCAGTCCTGTGCACTCCCTGTCAACATCCTTCACTGTCCAGCTTGGTGAAGTATGGTCAGCAGCCCACATCACCAACACGGCATGGCGAGGCCGTTAACCAGCAGAGAACTGACAAAGCACAGCAAGCGCTACGACAGACTGTGATAGTTGGAATATAAGAAGTTTGATCGATCGCAAGTATTTTGGAAGTACACCCACACAATGATGTCATGCTTGACCAAGCTTCTGAACATGATGTGAGATGCCACCCTCCCTTCCTCCTCTACTGCTCATAGGATATGCAAGGCCAGACAGAGGCTTCACCCCGAAAGACTGACAGAAGAGGCAGACAGACAGATAGGCACACAGAAGAATGAAAAGACACACAGATGTACACACACACACAAGAAGAATGCACAGACAGGCAAGGCAGGCAGGCAGACAGACACCTGTAGGTGGAACAGATAGAGACAGACACAGACAGACAGAAGAGACAAAGAGACGACAGAACCGAGGGACACACGGAGCGGGCGCGCGGGCAGGGTGGCCGGCCGGGCGGACCTCCTGGGCGAACCGTCGTCGTGCGGCGGGATGATGACCACCCGGACGGTGACCGAGGTGCGCAGCAGGTCGATCATCTGCTCGTGCGAGAGCGTCGCCACGGCGACCTTGCAGATCTCCACGAGGCGGCTGCCCTGGCGCAGGCCGGCCTGCCACGCGAAGCCGTACTGCTCCACGTCGGCGACGACGCCCTCGTAGTTCACGTGGAAGCCCAGCTGGCCCAGGCCGTTGCGCCGCAACGTGAGCTCCCGCGTCTCGCAGCCGCGCGTCACCAGCTGCGTGCAAACGGACGGACGGGCACGCGTGCGCCGTCGCGGTTATTTTTTTCTAAAAATTATTTTTACCAAGCGAGACGACGGGCAGGGCGTGCTGTCGCAATTATTGTGGATTAAAAAAAAAATGTTTTACCACGATCTCTGCCCTGCCACGCACGCGCGCGTGCCCCGTCGCGGTTAGTTCCACCGTTGGGCACGTGATGAGACGACGTCACGTCGGTTTCATCGGCTCACGCACGATGCGTGCTTGTGATCGCGCGTGGGAATCGTTTCGCTTACATTTATTTACGATTCAGTGAATTGTCACGATTCATTGCATCGTCAGCCGGGGTGAATCACTTGCACAGAGGAATTGTAGCCACCGCAACTATTACAGGAACAGCCGAACACAAAACAGCAGCGCTCCTGCCAGAGACACTGATGCCAGCGCTGCTGACACATGCTGGATCAAGCCCTGGGGCTGGGTCTCTGTGACATTAGGTTCACAATGGCTGTGTCAGAGACGACGAGTCACCACTGTTGTGAACCCGGTTCACGTCGTACGATTGAGTCTCATCGTTTATCTGGAGGCTCAGAGTGGCTCTTGTCAGACCCAATGAGTCAGCACCACTCGGATGCTGGGTTTTTTTTTTAGTCATCTGTGAATAATAACTTGAATTTCAAGTGCGGCGAATTCCAATCTCTTCAGCCTGGCCACCAATGAACGCACAAAATAAAATAAAAATCCACATTTATTTTCACAGAAGCCATCTTTAAGGCGAGACCAAAGGTTCGCCGCTATGTATATATCAGACGAGTGGTGGAGTGGCGAGTGCAGTGGCTTCACCGACTGCACTGTTAGCTGGGGGATGACGAACGCCAGTGGCGAGCGATATCTAAACCGATCCTGGACCTCACTTTACCAACCCGCATTGACCGGCGTGGTGAAGTATGACAAACACAACTCTAACTGCTTGACATTAAGTTTCAGTTTTCAGTTGATTTATTTTAGTATAGCCCTGTGAGCCATTCGGCTCTTGAATCGGGTGCAACCACAACAAACAAAAAAAACAAAAACACAACAAGAAAAACATGGCACAGGACGGCCTTTGTCCAGCAGTAGGTTTACAAAGGGGAATAAAATGTAATTTATTATTTGATGATGCAACTACTATTTATAGAGGGAGAAAGCATGACACCTATTCTTGGGCAAGAAATGCTGCAAACTACTTCTGTGGTGTCGTCTGAGGAAATGATTTGTTGAGTTGTTGGCGCTATGTAAGCAAATCCCTTCATTTCACTTCCCAACTCCCACAGGAAAGCTGGGATCCTATTCTTGACCAAGAGGAGAAAAAAAATGTATTTCAACAATCAATTGCGTTTTGTTTTATTTAGACGCCTGTTATGTTCCACCAAAGCCCTCAAATGCAGAGCTTCGCAAACACTCTCAGCCCTTCGTGGCTCGGGGTTGTCGGTGTGCAAGGGTTAAATAAACACAACGGATTCGTTCTTTGAGGGCACCCCGAGGGGGGGGGGATTTGGCAGTTAGAGGTGAAAACGCACCAGCAACCAGAGCGCGGTTAAATCGGGTTCACGTGCCACTCCGCAATCCGGCGGCACACGTGGCACGGCCTGTGACGAACACGTGCACCACCCAGCCCCCTCCCCGGGCGCTGCCCCGCGACTCGCTGGGAAAGCGGCTGCCTCTGCCTCGGAGGTCGCGACCCTCACCGTGATCAGTTTGCCTTTTTTGCAGAACGTAAACACTCAGGTTTTCCACTCGGAGGCCCCGAGGTCGCGGGCGTTTCCCCTGGGATTCACTCCGCGAGCGTCGAGGAAGCTCGGTTGACGAGACCGGGCTTTCATCGCACGCCAGAGCGACGTGGCCTCGTGTCCCGACGAAATACGAGCCGGCCAGCTGCCACCACACAACAGCTGTAACCAGGGGTCCGTGGCAAATATTTAGAAGGAGTAACCCTCCGATTCCACCACGGGAGGAATTTCAAGCGAGTGGCAACCGCTCTCCAGAAAATGTATCAATTTGTTTACGACGATGGCCACGGGAGCCAGTGCTCCAATGCACCTAGGAAGAGCCGCGAGACGGCGCTGAAATGCACACCACGTGCGGCTCGCGCACGGGGCTCGCAAGTGGGACTCAAAAGCACGGCGAGACAAGAGCAGCCATCTGTTGTCACGAGGGACACGGAGAGGGCCGTGGAAAGAGAACCCCTAGCAGAGGCCCCCACGATCAGCAACTCTGCGCTGCCGCGCCTGGCATTCTCTCGCCGCCTCCGTCATCCCGTGGGGCCTCACCGCGAGACGTCTCGCCGCAAAGCTGGCGAGGCATCATCGCCGCGGGATGGGCAGCGAGCACAAGAACTCGTGGGCGATTTAAAAATGAACGGGTCGGCCATCCTCGCCGCGTAAGGAACAACGTGACCAGCCTGTGCAATCCATTCAAGCCGAGACATTCAAAGGATTCTGACACGCGACGGGTATAAACATCATAAATGGTGGGGCTGAGCCACCAGGCAGCTGGGCATCTGCACTGCGAGCCGACGGTGCAGATGAGCCGATTCATACTCCGTGCGTCTTAAAAGTTCAAAATGCTGAGTGCCAGTTTAAGCTGCACGAAACTTGAGCTGGACCAATTCCAGAACCGGCTTACTGGGAGAGTGCCGAATTGCTCAGTGACCCAATTCCATCCTAAGCTCACGTGTGAATGAAGGCCACTCGACAATGCAATATTATGCTCCAAAGCCTTTGGATGTCCTCCTTCCTGTCCTACGGTAAGACTGATGTTTTGGTGCTCATTTCAAAATTACACCCCGGCGACTTATTTGCTCTTGATAGCATGGGGGTTTCGCAACGACGAATGTCGGTGATCTGAACCGCTCAATTTGTTGCATAAGCAAAAATAACTGTAGATCAAGGTTGGGTTGTAAAGTTCTCGGTGACATCTTGGGCCAGAGATGCCCAATATTAAACGAAGGCTGTTGTATTAATGGGTGTCTCTGCGTTCAACCGAGCAGCTGTGTATGGTCGCGGCTCGGTTGCTTGGCAACAGCGACGACGGCGACGACGGCCGCTCGGTCACCTGCAGCCGCTGCACGATCTCCGCCACCTCGTCCGGTGCCACGGTGAGGTCGATGCACTCGCCGCGCTCGTAGTAAATGCGCAGCGCGTTCTGCGACGACGTCCACCCGATGACGTCGCGCGTCGTGCAGTTGAACACCACCCCGCTCCGCGCCACCCTGTCCACCAGCACCACCACCTGGCACGGGGGGACACGACCGCGAGCCGTCACAGTCAACCCGTGCCTGCCGTCCTCTTGAAGGGACTCAAAACTGTCCCCGTGCTCCATTGCGCTCATTAGCGACGGTGGTCCTGAGGCACTGGTGAAAAATCCACATTGCTATGGCAGGGAAGAGCCTTCGACAAGACGACCCACTGTGGAATTTCCACAAAACGGTGCTCCGGAGGAATGCGCCAAGTCGACCCACGGCCAAAATTTTAATTAAAAAAATCCGCTTAAATCCCACAGCGTTGCGCGAGCGGGCGGCCTCGGCTTCGAATTGTGCAAGACGGCACGCGCGTGTGCTCGAGAGCGGTCACGGCGCCGGAGCGTCGCTCGAGTCGTCGCGACGCACCTGGTTGGAGATCCCCAAGAGGCAGCCGAGCTCGGGGTGCGCGGCGGAGTGGGAGTAGTCGTGCGCGCGCGCGTGCCAGACCAGCGCGCCCTGGCTGCCCAGCTCGGCTCCCAGCCGCGGCCGCGTCCTCTCCTTCCTCTTGCCGCCCAGCGGGATGAACCCGAACGAGCGCGCCGCCGACTCCACCGTGCCCGTCGTCACGTGGTTCTCCGCCAGGTCGCGCAGGTACTCCTGCCTCGTGCGCGCCGCCATCGCGCGGAACTTGTCCGACTTGTGCGCCGCGTTCTCGCCGTTGATCACCTTGGCCAGGAGGAAGTCCCGGAAGACGGCCGACTTGGGGAAGGTCACACCCTTGGGGATCGGCGGCCCGAACGGCGGAACGTCTTTCGAGCGAGTCACCGCGACGCTGGCGTCACGAAGAGAAAAAATGGGAAGAAGATTTGCTCGCTTGCGTCGGGAGGGCGGATCGCGGGAGAAGATCGTTTCAAGGATCACCTGCGCTTGCGGGTTAAACACATTTTCACAGGCTTTGAAAACATTTCAAGCACGGGGGAGGCCACGCATACAGATGTGCCCCGCATGCGCTCGCCTATTGCAGACATTGCAGTCGCTCGCTCGAAAAGTATAAAGTAAACATTTGCGATGTCTGCACACGTGTTTGTGTGTTTCTGTGGCCCCACCCCCCCCCACTCCCCCACCCGTGCAACGTGCATGCGTCTCACCTGTAGCAGACGTTCTCACTGCCGGGGTTGTGCACTCGCACGATGACAAACACATGCTGGAAGTGCGAGCGAATGTTCTTGGGTGTAAAAGGCAGTGCCCCGGGCTCCTGGAACACGATGGTGACGATGTCGTTGCCGATGTGCCGCTTCCTCAGGAGCTGCGACACGAACAGGACATTCGACATCGCACCGCGCAGCTTCGCAGAGATGCCGGCGACGGTGTGACGAGCGGTCTCAAGCACAGTTCGCTCGGCAGAAATAGTTGGGTGGCTTTTTTTGTGTTCCCCCATCCTCTTCATGAAAGAGCTCACAATTTAAATTGTGTTTCCCTAACACACCCACCGCCACCACTTCCACCTTTGAGGATCACTTTTAATGATAAAACTGCCAGTGTAAAACGAAACAATAGTAACGTGAACGGGGCAACGCGCGCCTGTAATCGTTTCCTCCGCCGCTCGCATAACCGCGCGCCGCTGCCGGCGCTCGCTCCTCCCTCCCGAGCCCAATAAAAGCCTCAAACGGAACAACTCAACAAATAGGATTTCATTAGCGAATGTAAATGATTGCACAAACCGGCGCGGGTGCAGCCAGCACGGCACCTTTGTGAGGCGGTAAATGAAAATCCATCATGCTCCTTCTGGCTACGATTAAGAGCGGAGTCGGGTTTATTATCAAAAGGAAACGCTTTGATTTCATTACAACAATGGGTGAAAGCACGGCAACGGTTTTGATTATTTCAACACAATCGTTGGGGTGCGGGGGGGGGGTTGATGGGGAGGTTTTAAAGAAGAAAAACCTTCACGTATCAAGCACTTAGGACTCCCACCTCCCCCCACCCATCAAATGTAAATACAACAACATAGAGATCATTGTAAGTGCAATGCGCATCTCAATGCGAGACCCCCCCCCCCCTCTCTCACGCGCATCGACAAAAGCGTAGAAGAACAGCCCAACGCACACCGCGCGCGAGCCGTGTGAGGGCAAGCGGACGGGGAGAGACAGCGCCGAGGCAACGCTGCCCAGGGGAGTGGCCCTGCTGCTAGGGAGCGGCTGGTGAACTGCTGCGCTGTGAACCTGGCGACCCCGTGTTCGATTACTAGCACACGGACGCCCACCCCCCTCCCCTCACCCCCCCCCCCCCCCAATACATGCACCAACTACCGTGGTGAAGGATAAGTCTAACAGCCCCCATGACAAACACGTTGTGGGGGGAGGCCTTCATCCAGCAGTGGATTGGCAATCGGGACAAGTTACAAGCAAATAATAGTGGTGGAATGGTCAATCAAAGAGCCGATCTCACGAGTACTATACTGACAATGCTCCGTGTTACGCTAAGTTTTGTTGAGAGGTTATAACCAATGTAAACTAGAATCAGGCATGTATATCGATCCACATTTGCTTTTGGGTTAGGCCACGTGGTAGTTATATGCAAAAGTTCCTAATTTTGTAACACTTAGAGCTAATATTCATACGCAGTATCAAATGTGTATTTGTACACACACACAAATAAACAGCTTATAATGTTTCATAATCGTAATTATAATAGCGTTCGCTAAGCACTGCAGCGGGAAGCATTCCCACTGTGGAGATTAACAAAAAAATCACAGCCTTGGCTGAATCGCCTTCAATGTGGTTCTCGTTTGGAGACGCGGTTTGGCCAAACAGGACTTCCAAGTGGACCACCACGCAGCTCAAGGAAGAGGAAACAAATGAATAGATTCTCATCCAGCCACAAATCGAAGCTCCGACGATGCCGATCGGCAATTTGGGCACAGCAAGCGGTACCCACCGCGCCAAACGAGGCGGGCCACTAAGCGGAGCAGCACCTGCGTTTCCCATCGCCGCCCTCGCTCGCACGGGGGGGCGGGCGGCTGCTGGAGAGTAAATCGCAATTTCAGCCGACGCTCGGGTTTCAACGGCACAGATGGAAAGACAATTTAGGCGGCGCCATCTTCTGGGCGAGGCGTTCTCCAGCTGCGGGGGCCACAGCCCACGTCCATCGCCCGCAGGGGACGCGGCCCCGCGGGGGGTGGGGGGGGGGGTCTGGCTTAACCTTTTCGAAAAAAAATGATTCTCATTGTGACTTTTTTGTTTTCCCAGAAACAGCTCCCTTGGCAGCAGAAGGCTGCAGGATTGCGGGTATCGTGACGGCGTTCGCGGGCGGACAGCAGACGCGCGGTGTCGTTGTACATTTGCAATTACAAAAGCGTTGTTTTCGCTGAAGTTACAAAAACGTTGCGATTGTAATTAATTGCGATTTGGGTTTGGTGGCAATACGCAGCAGGATGGTGCTGTACGGAGAGAAGCGCTCATCTCTTCCTCTTTGCGTCACCATTCATAAAAAGATGTTCCTGAGTACGACCGGGGATTAATTGCTCAATAAGCATTTTGTCGATCCGTGGAAAAATTCAGCAGGCTGCACGTGGCCAGTAGCAGCCACAAGAACCGCAGCGAGAGGTCTGGCGGACGTGGTGTGTGCCGGGCGCCGGAAACGTATTTATGGCTCACCGATCCGGCGAGGGCCGGACAGAGATGAATTGCTGCCCGAGACTTTGCTCGGCTTCGCGGCGGCCCGACTCGGCGCTCGTTCGATTCGCGGTGCCCTTCAGCAGAGCCGCCGATGATCCCGCAGCTTCGCCGGCGCCGATTGCCAATTACACGCGAAGCAGCATGCAACACAAAATGCTACACGTTGGCGCGAACTGGCCCGGTCACTCCGACGGATGCAGACGCCGAATATCGCCCAGGCCACTGCCCTCACCAAGTAAAGCCGCATGCATTATTCATGCACTCCGTTTACCAATAAATCTATCTGCCCTGCCCAGGCACCGTGGCCTCCCCATGTAACCCGTAACCCCCCCCCCCGCCTCCCCAGTGCTGAGATGAACACTTGCGATCGTGCAATGACAGGCTACCATTTAACAAGAGTACGAATTTAAATTGCTGAGCCCAGGCCCGAAAGGCTGATAGTGGCCAGCAACATAGATCACGAATGACAATCATGCCAAGATGAATACAGTCGGAGCCGGTTCAGATATATTCGACGTAAGGCGTATGTTGCACGCGGTGTGGGCGAAGGCGGGGGAGAGGCGAGGGGGCGACCTCTGATACAAGCACACTACTGCGGATACAAGCACACTACTTCGGATACAAGCACACTACTGCGGATACAAGCACAACTGGCCTTGCTCCAAAATAGGTGCACTTACGTGCCAATAAAGAAGACAGTTGAACAGTGTGGATGAGAGGACACAGCCAAACTGAGGGCAGGATTCCTTAAGTGCCAGAGGAATCAAAGCGTGAAGTGCATGGCAGCACTGTGCAAGGCAGTAGCAATAGCAGAGGGACAAGGAAGAGGCTTGACAATTGTGAGATCGACTCGAATGCATCACTGAGCACTGGTTCAATCAATCAACTCCTCCACGATGGAGGATTGTATTGACGGAGATGGAATCATCATCGGTTTCTGAGTGCCCGGCACAGGAATGGAATTAGTACCTCAATCGGGGCATGCCGGTGACCACCATATGAACCATCATCTCGTGTGCAGATGCTAGATTGATTGTGAGAACGCAGGGCCGGGGGGCATCCATCCAGCAGTGCATTCATCATGGCTGTTGATGATGATGACGACGACGACGACGTTGACAATGGTGGTCAACGTACGTCCTGGAGCGCAGGGAACGAGGAGACGTCACGAGCGCACAGCTCCGATTGGCGCGCCAATTCCCGGCGGAGGACGCTTCTCTCGCGCGCACGGCCAGGCTGCTATCGCGTCACCGCCCAGAGGCGATAAACGACACTGCGACATCTGTCCTGGCGACCCAGGGATATTGCGGTCCATCAGCCACGTCGCACCATCCCTGCTACAGACAGGATGAGCCGATTCTCACTCGGTGGCTGAAGAAGGACGCGCAAACGACCGCCGAATGGAGGGAAGTGCGGCCAGCTAACAAGTACGGTAATTTTAAATAGTGCTTGTCAAAATTCCATTTGCGGGCCTTTCGAAGTGTCCAACTAATTATGGCATGTCAGGACGATTTCCCGAATAGCGATCGTGCGCAGAAAGAGAGAAAAACCCCACGACCGACATGTACAAAATGATCACAGCAAAACGAAGTTTAAACGGTCAAAGAAAATTTGCGCCTTTTTTTTCTATTTCTCGGTGGCTCCAGCACAAGGCAACAAACTGTTTGTCAGTGACACAAACAAAGTCAATGACTTCATCGATGGCCTTGAACAAAGTTTCCAAAGATCGAGCGGCAAGGCGGCCAGGGGGCAGACAGTCGCACTGCTTGAGACAGACGGCGATCACGATCATCCCGGAGAACAGACGCTGGCGGGGTGACTCACTGCAGACACGTGTGTACACGGGATGCGACTCGACACGCCGCTACTGCGGCGTGGGTGGTTCCTCTTCGCTCCCCACTCCCACGCCCCCCCTCCCCACCTCCCCCTTCCATCCCAACAGCCACTCCAATTCCCTTCTCTTTCTCACCCGATGTCTCTTTTGTTTGGAAGTGATGGGCCCAATGACATCACTGCGTTGGGGGCCTCCTGGCTGGTGTAACTTGATCGGGGCGTAAAAAACAAAAACTTAAGCCAAAAAAAGCAGCGCTTTGAAAGGAGCGATTCCTGTCGGAGCGAGGAGGATGATGAGGATGAGGCATGGTTGCGTTGCGTTGCAGGCGCTAACTGCAGGGGATGCTCAGCAGGGTGCCGCTATCTGGTAACGCCGAGTTTAAATTTGAGGGGGGGGGAATAAAAACTAAATCCATTGAGGTAGAGAAACAAGCCACCAAAATTAAATATAAAATAAACAGTTGCAGAAAATACATGACTTTTGACTGTCGAAGGACGGGCATCGTGTAGACGTGGCTCATAATATTTACCGAGCCATTGTCCATTTTTTTCAAGGAAACTATGACGACGTTATAGGAACAAAAACAAATAAGAAAATGTACGTCGCAGCTGCGCACTGCTGCTGCTGCTGCCGCGTCAGCGTGGACGGGGTTACTGCCGCTGCTGAGATTCCTGGGAGCTCAGCGCACTCATGTCGTGTTTTTTGTATCGTTTGTTGTTGTACCGTTCTGCCCCGCCCCCTACTGGCCATCTGTGTAAAAGAGCTTTATAGCTCATCGGATTGCTCCAGTATAAATACAATATTCTGACTCAGTCTGCGAGGCACGCGCCATAAAGCTCGCTCGCAACTCGGCAGCAGTTTGGCGACACGGCCAAAACTACACCCCAACAACGTTTCCCCTCCGCTTGCGAGCCGAGTCAACGCTACAGGCAGTCCTCGCTTTCATCGCGATGCTCACCTCGGCGATGCCATTTACTCCACGCGACATGCTGCTCGAGCGTGCGTGCCTCGGCACGTTTCGCAGCCAGTGCAGGGATAGGCGACGTTTATAGTCAGGGGAGGGAGCCGGCAGCGGCCCGTTAAAGCTTCAACAATAATTTAAAATGTTAACGTGCACAGCATTCACTCACTGAAGCTTCAAGTTTCGCAAGGTTTAGACGTTTTATTTGCTAGAACGCGTGCGAGATTTGAAGGCCGTATTAGCGGAGGCGTATCGGCTGGTGCGGTGTATTTATGCACGCGCGACAGATCGAAAAACGGTGCCACCAGCGACCCCCGTGTTGCTAGCCCGACACAACAAACAGCAGCTGAGACGGTCCAAAAAAAGGGGCCTTAAATTTGTCGCAAGTGTTTTTTGGATTGACAAGCAAGACACGCCAATATGTAGGTAATTTTGTTTTGTTTCGCCGTGATGAAATTATCTTTCCAAGAGACATCTTGCTGCGAGACTGGATAAATCTCCGTTTATCCGTGCGCACGCACATACACACTTTCACGCACACACTCACACATTCGCGCGCGGCGCGCACGCACACACACGCACAAACTCTCACTCCCAGCACGAGGCTGACTCATTATAACCCGCGGAGGATCGCCCCGCTGAACAAAATAGTTCCGTGGTTGAGTTTGCAAGTGCGAGTTGGCGTTTTAAGTCGATGTATTTTTTTCATGCGAGCTGGTTCGCAAGTGTGGGTGTTCGTAAATCAGGTGTTTGTAAGTCAAGGACTGCCTCTACTACAAACATCTTTTGTCTCCTCTCCGCCGTAACTAAAGACCTCTTTGGCACGGCGCACCAAATGAAGACTTGTCGCTGTGGAAAACAAGCGTAATGTCACCAAGCCCTTCCTCTTTTATGGCCATTACACGCCCCCATAGTCACGATGACTATCAAGGCATGGTCCCATAATAACAGTCTGCATTTGCGGTTCTACAAAACATTATACGCCCCCACGATGCTGCAACCCCTCCCTTTATATTGACTACATTTTGATAGGGCCGTTAGCCCAGATGCCAGATGCTCTCCTATTCCGTCCGCCGTGGCAACAATCAGCAGAACTGCTCCCATCTCACCACGCCAGATGCATCACCCGCAGGCCAGTGCAGACGAGGCAGCCCATACTAATTACAGCGATAATGGGGAATACAGTCGCTTACGCACCAAATGGCTCATCAAAAATGTATTATGGCAATAAAGACAACGTCACTAAACGATCCCTAAATTATTTGGCGGCTAGGAACGCTACGATCCGGCGGGACGAGGCTCGCAGCCTGCACCAGGTGCAACTCTTTGTGTCAAAAGTGTCAGCGCAGGGCATTGAGTAAGACATTGTCACGCCTAGGGTTAGTTTCTCCCTGGATGCATCGATTCAAGGGCACTGCAGTTTGAGACTCGCAGCTCTCAAAGATTACACGGAAGCCTTATATTCCATCAAGGTAAGGGAGATTCATGAGCACTTATCTTGGCATGTTACACATGGCGTGGGGCCAGGGAGTAGGAACGACCATCTATTTGGCCATGTCATAGCCCAACGTATGTGTGTAGAGCTTTTTTCGCACCGTACGTAGCCAACCGTGCCAACCGGAGGTGCGGGGGAAGGACAAACAAAACTAACAAAAAAAGCAGCTCTAAAAATAAATTATTTTCAATTTAGAGGATAGGGAAGCTACAGTGAGGGAAAAAAGTATTTGATCCACCTGCTGATTTTGTACGTTTGCCCACTGACAAAGGAATTATCAGTCTATAATTTTAATGGTAGGTTTATTTGAATAGTGAGAGACAGAATAGCAACAACAAAATCCGGAAAAACGCATGTCAAAAATGTTATAAACTAATTTGCATTTTAATGAGGGAAATTAAGCATTTGACCCCTCTGCAAAACATGACTTAGTACTTGGTGGCAAAACCCTTGTTGGCAATCACAAAGGTCAGACGTTTATTGTAGTTGGCCACCAGGTTTGCACACATCTCAGGAGAGATTTTGTCCCACTCCTCTTTGCAGATCTTCTCCAAGTCATTAAGGTTTCGAGGCTGACGTTTGGCAACTCGAACCTTCAGCTCCCTCCACAGATTTTCTATGGAATTAAGGTCTGGAGACTGGCGAGGCCACTCCAGGACCTTAATGTGCTTCTTCTTGAGCCACTCCTTTGTTGCCTTGGCCGTGTTGGGGACCTTGCGGGCGCTGCAGGATTTCAGTCCTTCACGGCGTAGTGTGTTACCAATTGTTTTCTTGGTGACTATGGTCCCAGCTGCCGAGAGATCATTGACAAGATCATTGACAAGATCCTCCCGTGTAGTTCTGGGCTGATTCCTCACCGTTCTCATGATCATTGCAACTCCACGAGGTGAGATCTTGCATGGAGCCCCAGGCTGAGGGAGATTGACAGTTCTTTTGTGTTTCTTACATTTGCGAATAATCGCACCAACTGTTGTCACCTTCTCACCAAGCTGCTTGGCAATGGTCTTGTAGCCCATTCCAGCCTTGTGTAGGTCTACAATCTTGTCCCTGACATCCTTGGAGAGCTCTTTGGTCTTGGCCATGGTGGAGAGTTTGGAATCTGATTGATTGCTTCTGTGGACAGGTGTCTTTTATACAGGTAACAAGCTGAGATTAGGAGCACTCCCTTTAAGAGTGTGCTCCTAATCTCAGCTCGTTACCTGTATAAAAGACACCTGGGAGCCAAAAATCTTTCTGATTGAGAGGGGGTCAAATACTTATTTCCCTCATTAAAATGCAAATCAATTTATAACATTTTTGACGTGCGTTTTTCTGGATTTTCTTGTTGTTATTCTGTCTCTCACTGTTCAAATAAACCTACCATTAAAATTATAGACTGATCATTTCTTTGTCAGTGGACAAAAGTACAAAATCAGCAGGGGATCAAATACTTTTTTCCCTCACTGTATGTAACAGAAGGGAAGCTTCACATGATGATCTCTGCACGATCCACCAACTCCCACCTCCACTGGACCACTTCACCAGGTGCCAAATCAGCAGAGGGAGGCCCTCGACGATGACGCTCGAGCGCCGGCGTGTGTTGGTGCGCAAGGGGGGGGGGGAGGCCAGGGCTTCGCGTGGGTCACGTGGATACCTGCTGCCGGTTGTTGGGCGTGTACGGCAGCATGCTGGACACGTGGAACATGATCTCGTAGTCCTTGTAGGTGGTGTAGAGCGAGTGCATCCCCGTCGAGTCGGCTGTCAGACACAGGAGGGGGCACCGTCGCGTCGGTCAGTTCAGGGGACAACTCAAACGTGAGCCGAGCCCGCTGCTGCTGCTGCTGCTGCTGCTGCTGCCACACCGGACGGCGCAGCACGGACGTAATACGGTCGCGTTTTTATTAACGACCAAATTAACCGAGCAGTTGGGACTCAATTTTGCGCTGTGATTTCAAAATGCAGCAGCAATCGCAGCCGCAGCGGTTTTGATTGTTTCACTGCCAGTGCCGTTGCCGCTAATGGGCGCCGTTCGCACGGCGCTGTGGCCGGGAACACTTCCAGTGTTTGTAAGGCGCTGCCCCTAATTACACGACTTGCAAAATAATTTTATTATCGGCCGTCGTACGAGCAAGCGAGAGCACAAACATGGCATGGCACTCGTGAGCCAAGCGCAAGCGGATAAAACCCAAGATGATGACATTTTTGTGGGACGGGCAATGCAGAGGCCAAGTAGTGCAGTTTGCAGAGGCAGCCGTGAGGGCACGCGTACATTTACAGGGCACGATTGCTCTTCCTCTGAAAAGCAAACATCACACTTTATAATCTGCGGCGGTGGGGGGAGGAGAGTGGTCAACCAGCGACGCGCCGTCTTCCGCGCCTATGCCCCTGGGCTCCCGACGTTTCCTGATGACGTTTTGCGTTCGGGGGGGGTGGGGCGACAGCTTTTTCACCGTCCTGACTAAATGTCAGGGACCTGGCGTTGCCGTGGTGCGGGATTGCCCGTGCGAGCGAACGTGCGGGCTTACAGGGCGGATCGCCCAATCGTCGTCACACCGCCACAAACACAAAACGGTGAGAGGGAGCAAGTGACGGCGAGTGACGCTCGCTGCCCAGCACCCTGGCCACTGGCAGGACCCGGTGCCTCGTCTCCACGTCTCCACAAAGCAATTACCCAAAGCAGACACATCACGAAGAGGTGCTGCTCATCGTTCATTTCCCGCCCTGCACCTGTTAGGCAAATACAAATGAAATTTTGCTGGTAATTAAAGCTAATTTGGCAAATCTTGAAATTCGCAGTGCGGTGCGGGAGGCGGATTTGCGTGCGGAACCCAAAGCACAAAGTGCTGAACGTCGCCTACTCGGAGGCAGAAAGTGTTAATGACCCCCCCCCCCACCCCTCTCCCCCCACAATGATGTTCCAGCTGCTGCAGCTGAGACATCTGCATGCAAATGTGAAGGTAAATGGAAAAATATATACAGCCTACAGGGGAGAAGGTGGGGGGGGGAGGGGAACAGGGAGGATGGGGAGCGAGAGGGATGGACAGCAATAAGAGAGATGGGAAGCAAGACTGATGGAGAGTAGGGGGGGGGGGGGGGGGTGGGGGAGCAGGGGCAGACAGGGACGGGCGAGGGGGATGGGAAGCTGGTGGGGAAGGGGGAGCGAGAGGGATGGGGAGCAGGGGCAGACGGGGAGAGAGAGGGGGGGGGGGGGGCGACGCGTGGTGCCGCGGGCCACTCACTCTTGTTGTCGAGCTGCGCGCGGTACTTGGTGAAGCCCTTAAGGCGCACGCGCTCCCCGAGGAGGTCGAGGAACTCGTCGAAGGCCGCCTCCGCCGCCTCGTTGTTGTACATCTCCTCCTCCGTGCTCTGGCCCGCCTTGCAGTACATGATGCCCACCTTGTGCTGGTAGCTCAGCTGCCGGGAGACCAAGCGGGTGGGAGGGGGGACAGACGGCAAGGGTGAGCGGCGGCCGCGGCGGCGGAGGGCCTCGGCGAGTGATACCCGGCGAGTGGCGACCGGCTCGAGCGGCCACGGGCAAACGCTGCCGTCAATCGTTCCAGAGACCCGTCATTTAATCCGACGGATTTATTTATAGCCACGTGAGGGCCCATTGAGATTAAAAGGTCTCTTGTTCAAGGGACACCTAAGGTCAAAACAAACAAAGCTTCTCCAAGTGCAATCAGAAGTATGATAAGGGTTGAAGGCAAAAATATTATTTAATGGAAATCGGTTTCCCCGATTGTGACAATCCTTGGAATAGCTGCGGGGGGGGGGGGGGGAGGTGGCGGTGGTGGGGTTGAATTGTTACATGTGTAGCTACCAGGAAAACGATGAACCTGGCAGACAAAATCCAGAGGTGGCAGCGTGGGGCCCTGGGGGATTATAAAATCAGGGGCCTCAGGATGGAGGAACACCAACAATCGCGACGTCTTCAAACAGTCAGCGTCATTGTTATGTCACAAACATCATGCGAACAAGAGTTCTACATTTTTTTCTGCGGACATGGATTCCCTTATAACAGTATCATTATTAAGCCGTGCGAGGGGAATCTGCCATCCAGCTGCTGGAGGGAGAGCGGGCCCATGGCACACGTTTTAATTTCCACCTTATTCCCACTTGAGTCATTTCGTTTATATTTGAATCTCAAATTAAATGCACAAAAAAACGCCATTAATGTTCTTTTCATTATTTTTTTGGAGCGCCGAGGGATACGCGGCGCTGTTACAGGGCTCCACGAATGGAATGAACGTTTCCGCGATGGCAATTTTACCGAGCGGATTTTCTGCAGAGATTTTCAAGAAAATGTCAAACTGCATTTCGGTGCGACACCTTACAGTAAACAGACTTGCACGACTGATTTCCAACTTTGTACGAAAAGAATGCGGCCAAAAGGCAAGAGCTTTAGTGGTAGTTCCGATTTGAATATGCATACAGAGGGCAAATTTCAATACAATTGGAACCCACCAATAATAATGCGAGTACCGGAATTGGCACCGTAACAATGTTACAACGGAGAGAGCGATTTAATTTATACTTGAGAGGTTGAAGTCAATTCCGCCTTCGTTCAATGTGATGCAATGATGCAAAAAAATATAACATATCCGCTCGATACAAAATTAGCCACCATGAGGGACAGTGGTGGGTGCCTCAAACGCCCAATAAACAGAAAGCAGTGACGTTTGACCCGAGGCTGAATTACACGACAACCACGACCGCACTCTATGGGGTGGGGGGGGGGGGTAGGCAGGCAGCGTCCTCTTCGAGCCACGCGGGTTTGTCCGGGGGAAGGTGGTGGGAAAAGAAAGAAAAGGGAAAACCGCCACGCACACCGCGGCCATGCCCCGCAACAGCGCAACACTTGTCGGGAAACACAAACGGGGCCATTTGCAACCTCATCACCACAATCAGACCTCATCGATCAAAAATTCATTAGCACCCGGGCGAGAAAAAACACACCAGTCATCCCGCTTCCTCTCCTTCCAGCACACAGCACCCCCCCCCCCCCCCCCCCGAGGGTGTGAAATTCAGACGCGGTTGAAAGGAGACAAGTGAGGCAGTCTCAGCCAAACGTCCCCCCACCCGCCCCCACTCCTCAAAACCGGCTGTTCGCAGGAACGGCTGACCACATAAACGGCAACACGCGCCAGCCTCCGCCAGCCTCCGCCAGCCTCCGCCAGCCTCCGCCAGCCTCCGCCAGCCTCCGCCAGCCTCCGCCAGCCTCCGCCGGATACCAAACTCCAACGCGAGAATTCCAAACAAATGCTTCATGTGAGAACAGCCACGCCCAATCTTATAGGAAAGGTTCATTCTCTACTGAAATGCAAACTATGCATTGGTGGCAGGAACTTTCTCCTTAGCGCAGAAGATTGGGAGGCCGGCTGCTCGTGGTGGCGAGAACGCTGGCACCGGGGGCTTTGTGCGTCAACGTACAGGAGAGAGCCTGCACAGGGCCGTGAGGCACGGCAAGATGCATAGGTTCACGTCGATTTAAAACGCTCAAGAACGCGCGCGCATCAGGTCCCGCAGTGTAAGAATCCGTTTGCGTGTTAACACCATTTACGATTTATGCACATCCTTAGATTGTTTTGTATTTAGGGCGATGGCGTTAACAAAATGGCACGAAACGGATATGAAAACGAGACCGAATTTTTTTCCCCTTGAATACCACAGCCACCCCGACAATGAATAGAATCGCTGGGGATGTGCATCGCTACGCACTGTGAATAGTTTTACACGGCCATATGATTTATAAACATGTTTCCACGTGTAATTACGTAAACATGACAAACAACATTAGCGTCAACCTCGGGGGTTACAAACCAAAAGAGAGTTGCTAGACGTTGCCACTGCCTGGTCAGGGGTGGGGATGGAGAGAGGCGCCTCATCTGGCTTCGATGATCACAGCAGCAGCCGCCACCCCACCAGCACGGCCCTCAACATTAGCCTGCGATTAGCACCTCTTATTTTTACGCGCCCCCACGGACGTGCGGAAACCGCATCCAGTCCCTACCCCACTACGTCCCCCCGCCCCACCTCTCCACGACACGTTCTCCGACCGGAACGAGTCCGGCGGTCGACTGCATCGGACAAGCCGATGGACACGGGGAGACAGAAGCGACGGGTACAGGGAGACGGGATGGAGCGATGGACATGGGGAGACGGGTACGAGGAGACGGGTACGGGGAAACGGGATGGGGAGACGGGACACGGGGGAGACGGGTACGGGGAGACGGGTACGGGGAGACGGGTACGGGGAGACGGGTACGGGGAGACAGGACACGGGGGAGACGGGACACGGGGGAGACGGGGAGACGGGTACGGGGAGACGGGTACGGGGAGACGGGACACGGGGGAGACGGGTACGGGGAGACGGGACACAGGGGAGACGGGACACGGGGGAGACGGGACACGGGAGAGACCGCAGGGTGGATGTTGCGGCAATAAAGATGGGCGCTCGCTTATTTCGGGAGGAGGGTCACACGCGCCAAAACGTTATTTTACGCTTAAGATATTTTAAATTAACGAGCGGCAACATAAACAGCTGCGCTCGCATCCCCAGCGATGAGCGCGGTGTGCGGACCCTGGTGCACAAGGAACCCAATCAGCCAGGTCAGCAAGTCCTTATTTCCCTCGTCAGCGCGGTTGCCATGGATATTGTGCAGAATGAATTAAAGTGACAGCTTGAAGGCTCACATTTACTAAACTGCCAAGAGGGGTTTGCGTTTCAGCCAATCCTGGCAGGGCTGATGCAGCATAACATCCCCAGGCCCCCCCAATCACTCCCCCGTCCTTACCCCCACTTCTTATCTGTGAACGCTGTCATTTTGTTCAACTCAGGTCCCGGCCATTTGATTTAAAGACGTAATTTCGGCGTGCCGATGTGCAGGAAATAATGCAAGCTAATGGGTCATATAATCTTCTAAATTAATAATTTATGACGCTGCCGATATTACACTTATTATACGCACACGGTATAAACACTTTCCCATAACCGACAAAACGTTTTCTCCGTGAAACGTCAATGTTTTCGTGAACGTCGTACATTTCAAAGCTTCATGAAGGAAGCGCGTGGTGACGGTGATGATGATTTTCACGTTTTGTCAAAACGGCACCAACCGGATGGCGAGGGCTGCTCGTACCACAGACCTCCAACTCGGAAACTTGGGAGGAGGTTTCTGTCCCATGGTGTCCCTCGGCATAAATGGACGCAAATCTGACGGGCCCCTCAAACGTTACCACGGAGGCTTAATCCAGTTTAAATGTATGAAATGGCACTTACGTGACGAACGAGAGAAGAGAAAAATTTGTGGACGTTTCCCCCCCGACCCCCAATATTGTCCTCGGTCCAGTCATACTTCCATGCCTTTTTTGGTCATGCCCGGACATAGTCATATTTCATCGGGATATCATGGACTTCTTTAATAAAATCTGCAGCACCATTCTTCTCACTCCTTCAATCGAGCACTTTGGCTACAAGCTCAAAGACAGAGAAAGTGGGATTCGAGGCCAGATGGTCCCCATTCGGAGTCTAAAATGAGGCGCGCGGCCAGGGAGGTCGGGTGGTTGGGGGACGGCTGTTTTTTTTTTAGGGGGGGGGGGGGGGGCTGCGTGCCCCTCTTCCGGGGGAACGGGCGGGAGCGGAGCGCCGACCTGTGGGACGTTAGTATAAATTATTTTATTTGCGGTGTTTTATTACATGCCTTGCCCTCTTTTGCCCCCGCCCTCCCTGCCCCCACTTTCTCTCTCCACCCCCACCAGACCCTGTCCCCCAGCACCTTAGTTTACCTTTCCGTCACCCCCATATAAACTGTCACGTCCCCGCGAGTGATTCCCACCTGGCTGGGGCAGCGAGCCCCCCAATTCTCACCCCCCCCGCCCCTCCCCCACCTTCGTTAAGCCCCCGCCATGACAAACTCGGCCTGCTGTTGTTTTTGTTGTTGTTGTTGTTCGCGGGATTTGCGTTCCCCCCCTCCCCCCCACGTCTCCGTTCTGCGATGGGCGCTTTGTACCGGGCTCGCGTTGAGTCGGAAGAAAAAGTAAAATGGCACCAACCCCACGTTGCTCAGCAGCCGATGAGGCAGGGCGGGGTGGGTGTGGGTTGGTTACTAGTGGGTCAAGAACATTGGAGAAACTAACGCTCAGGTGACTCGGCTATCCAACAGCTACACAGGTGAACCAACAAGCCCCGAGCTGTACACATGGATGTTGAACTTCTTTCGCACCGTACGGAGCTAACCAGCTAATCGGAGGTTTGGGGAAAACATGAACCAACTAGTTCACAGTCACACAGGTGAACCAACCAGCACACAGTTGCACAGGTGAACCAACGAGTTCAGTCACATAGGTGAACCAACACAAACACAGTCACACAGGTGAACCAACCAGCACACAGTCACACAGGTGAACCAACCAGCTCACAGTTACACAGGTGAACCAACCAGCTCACAGTTACACAGGTGAACCAACTAGCACACAGTTACACAGGTGAACCAACTAGCTCACATTCACACAGGTGAACCAACTAGCTCACATTCACACAGGTGAACCAACCAGCACACAGTCACACAGGTGAACCAACCAGCTGACATTCACACAGGTGAACCAACCAGCACACAGTTACACAGGTGAACCAACCAGCACACAGTCACACAGGTGAACCAACACAAACACAGTCACACAGGTGAACCAACTAGCTCACAGTCACACAGGTGAACCAACCAGCTCACAGTCACACAGGTGAACCAACACAAACACAGTTACACAGGTGAACCAACCAGCTGACATTCACACAGGTGAACCAACCAGCACACAGTTACACAGGTGAACCAACCAGCACACAGTCACACAGGTGAACCAACACAAACACAGTCACACAGGTGAGCAACACAAACACAGTCACACAGGTGAACCAACTAGCTCACAATCAGACAGGTGAACCAACCAGCACACAGTTACACAGGTGAACCAACCAGCACACAGGTGAACCAACACAAACACAGTTACACAGGTGAACCAACAAACACACAGCCACACAGGTGAACCAACTAGTTCACAGTCACACAGGTGAACCAACGAGTTCACAGTCACACAGGTGAACCAACGAGTTCACAGTCACACAGGTGAACCAACCAGCACGCATTCACACAGGTGAACCAACTAGCTCACAGTTACACAGGTGAACCAACCAGCTCACATTCACACAGGTGAACCAACCAGCTCACAGTCACACAGGTGAACCAACTAGCTCACAGTTACACAGGTGAACCAACCAGCACACAGTCACACAGGTGAACCAACCAGCACACAGTCACACAGGTGAACCAACTAGCTCACAGTCACCCAGGTGAACCAACAAACACACAGTCACACAGGTGAACCAACCAGCACACAGTCACACAGGTGAACCAACTAGCTCACAGTCACACAGGTGAACCAACTAGCTCACAGTCACACAGGTGAACCAACTAGCACAGTCACACAGGTGAACCAACTAGCTCACAGTCACACAGGTGAACCAACTATCTCACAGTCACACAGGTGAACCAAATAGTTCACAGTTACACAGGTGAACCAACAAACACACAGTTACACAGGTGAACCAACCAGCTCACAGTCACACAGGTGAACTAACTAGTTCACAGTCACACAGGTGAACCAACTAGTTCACAGTTACACAGGTGAACCAACCAGCACACAGTCACACAGGTGAACCAACTAGTTCACAGTTACACAGGTGAACCAACAAACACACAGTTACACAGGTGAACCAACCAGCACACAGTCACACAGGTGAACCAACGAGTTCACAGTCACACAGGTGAACTAACAAACAGTCACACAGGTGAACCAACGAGCTCACAGTCACACAGGTGAACCAACTAGCACACACTCACACAGGTGAACCAACTAGTTCACACTCACACAGGTGAATTAACAAACACACACTCACACAGTTGAACCAACTAGTTCACGGTCACACAGGTGAACTAACAAACACACAGTTACACAGGTGAACTAACAAACACACAGTTATACAGGCGAACCAACTAGCTCACAGTCACACAGGTGAACACCACATGCTCAGAATTGTACACACAAACCCAAATGCTCTCAGCCGCATCCACAAGTATAAATCAAGCATGAACGTGGAATTACCACCAGAAATATGACAGTTTCCAGTAAGGAACTTCTTCCGAGCAGTCCGCAGCCAACATAAACATTTACACGTTGTAATTGTACATGCTAAATATTTACATGAACGTCACGCTGTTGGCCAAGCCCATAATCGCTCCACGTGTGTGTGTGTGCGATTCCGCTCGGCTTGTTCAGACCTTACACCGCACACGCACCATCGTTGTTGAATTGACGGCCCCCTCCGTAAAAAAGGGCACGCAAACATTCGTAATCGGCAAACTCTGAATGCGGCGTTTCATCAGCAGAATCAGGGCGATTTGCTTTTTTCTTCCCGAAGGTTTTCGCTCTCTACCCCAGCTGCGATGCCAATACCCGAGAGGTGCAAAGGTCCGGTTCTTGATGTTACTTACACATTTGACTGCAATTTAACCTCTGCTCTTAACAGTAGCACCCGGAATGCCACAGGGACTCTACTAGAGCCATGCAAAGCTCATAAATAACCTTCACTTAACCCTCACGCGCACACACAGCAGCAGAGAAAGAGAGAGAGAGACACACATTCCGGTTGGCTCGCAATACCCGCTTCACTCACAGCCACATCCCCCCCCCACCCATCACCACCCCCCGCCCCCTTTTAAACGGCAAATTAAAGTTGGAGCGTTTTCGTGGAAGTGCCGAGCTCAGATCCTCCACGGGTAACGGCGTGGGGGGGTTTTGGCCGGGTTGCCTCTCTCCGCCTAAGCAGAGGAACGGCGGCGCGGGGGGGGGGGGGGGGGGGGGGGGCGGCTTCGCTCGTCGCAGCGCAGGCGGCCGCCGACCCCCCGCGTTGCGCGCAATTCCAGCATCGATTAAAAGGGGGGGGGAGGGGTGATGTACATGTGTTAAGACAGAATATGGAGCCGCGAGCTATTAACCCCGCGATAATGGCAGCAGTCTGCCCGTATTAAGCGCTGCGCCTCTTTCGCCTTCGCCTGCTGCAACAGTTGAACTAAAACTAAACAATTTGTTTTTTCTTTTAACCAGGTAAAGGCCCACTGGGCTTACGTAGCTCTCTTTCATAAGTGACCTCGACCACAAATGAGCGCTCAACGAAGTGGCTTATCATGTGGAAATGTAGAGCCGCCACCAAATACTCGAAACGCACGTTTCTAAGTGTGGAGGGCAAAACCGGAGGAGCTGGAGAAAAACCACGTGACCACGAGGAGAACATGCAAACTCCAAATATAAAGGCGTCAGGGTCGGGATCCAACCCATGACCGCCTGTATACCAGACGAGGTCGGTAACATCTCGCCACCACGGCACCCCGTCCCCGAGGCAATCCACTGCTGGATGAAGGCTTCCCCACGTCGTGTTGGTCACCGTGACGGCATTTATCCAGCAGCGGATTGACTTACTATTGGAGGACAATTGTAATGGCAGCTAACGTTCGAGTGGTATGTTTCCTGTTATTGTTTTAAGCGCCATCGTCCCACAAGTGTCCCACAATGCTGGCAATGAGATGGAATTCTTCGTCTACAGAGCATAAAGCCAGTTGTACGAATTTCACATCCACACAAAAAACAAATATCACCCATATAGCCTACATAGACTGCTGGGGGTATGTTTTGTCAGAAAGAACCTATGTTTATACATAGTAGCAGGTACTCATTTAAGGCCAGGTTAACCAAGGGGAGATTCAAAACCAATTCAGACACTATTTGCCACAGATGCGAGTTGTAACTGTGAATCGAACTTGGGCCCCCGGGTTCATAGCGCAGTGCTCCAACCACTTCATTACTACTGCCCAACAACCGCCATTCGCCAATAATGGGCGGTGACATCCCCACGGCGCGTTTGTAGCCACCACAGCGGCCAACCCCTCCACCTTCAATTAATTACTACTGCTCATACAGATAAACACACACACACACACCCAGAGACAAAGGCACCGTCAACCCACGCGCTCACGCCGCTCCTCACCCCCTGCTCGTCGAGCTTGAGGAGCTGCTCGGAGACCCTGGGAGTGGCCGGCGCGAGGCGCAAGCAGCTCAGCTGCAGCTCAGGCAGCACGAACTCCATCACCTCCTTGAGCGGCAGCCCCCGTGTGGTGCCGTGGCGCGCCGTCGACGGCACCGCGTCCTCCAGCACCGCTCCGCGCAGGGTGCGCAGCTGCGGGGGGCCGGGGGACAGGAGGTCAGTGAGGGGGCAGTCGGGTGGAGGGGTTCAGCGCGGACAGCTCGGCGCAGGCGAGGATGGGCGAGGTCGTGGCGGGCGAAAAACAACGGCAGGTGCAAAGAAAGTGGGGTCGGGTCAAGTGACAGAGTGGAGAGAGACGGGGTACAAAAGCTACGGAGGCAGGGTACAAAAGCTACATCCCGCACCTCCCAATTAGCGCGGTTGGCAAGCACACATTGACAACGATCGCCATTTTTACTCTTCGCCGGCCGTTTGGAGTCAAGCGCTGTTCGCGAGCGCCTATTGACGATGGCGCGGCACGCGAGAGAGAGTCGGCGACGGGATTATTTCCACCCAGATCCTCCGTCCACAGAACGACCTGGCGGCAACTCGGTCCAGTTGCGATAGAATTAATTGAGGAGCACTTAACGAGCGTGCGCACGCACACACACACACACACATCGGTAAGTGCAGCACGAGAGAACGCGTTTGCCGGGATGTTAAGAAAAGTGCACGAGGCGTTAAAAGTTTCCTTTTTTTAGGCAACAGCCTTAGGCCTAATGAAGGCTTTTGTCGGGTGAAAACATAGAATTAATTGAGGAGCACTTAACGAGCGTGCGCACGCACACACACACACACATCGGTAAGTGCAGCACGAGAGAACGCGTTTGCCGGGATGTTAAGAAAAGTGCACGAGGCGTTAAAAGTTTCCTTTTTTTAGGCAACAGCCTTAGGCCTAATGAAGGCTTTTGTCGGGTGAAAACATGAGCCAACGTGTGCTTTCTTTGGCACCGGTTTCGTTTCACTTTTCCAAAAAAACACTTTTACAATTTCATTTATATTGAGGGGCGGGGGGGAGTTGGAAAAACAACAGCTCAAGCGCCTGCGCCTGGTCTGCAGACAACGTTGCACGGCTTGCCGCGGCTGCAGTGCAACGATCGCAGCTCTACGCACATTGTGAGCCAGATTCGCATTTTGACTGAATGGCCAAAACGCATCCCCCCTTGGCGGTTCCGCCCATCTTCTGGGGACAGATATATCGGTGCAGCAATGGGGTCGTTCGCCTACAGCACGCGAATCCAACTCTGCTGCGTAGATGGCTGCAGCGGAGAGCCAGGGGATGGCGTGGGAACTTTTCAGATGCTAACAGACTTGTACCAAACTCGCATTCCTTATTAGCTATTGCACGTCTAGTAGCTGCAGGGGCGATGTGAACCGATTACGTACAGCAAGTATACATGTACAACACTTTAGTCAAACCACTGCTGGAAGACAGCCTTGCCATGCTGTGCGGGACATGGGCGTTTGTTTGACCAACGTACTTCACACCGGTCAGTGGAGGTTGGTGAAGGCAGAGAGCATAGACATGGGATCATAGTACAGTACAACAATGGATGTTACTGGGCTGTCCTCTTCTGCCAGCAATGTGCCCTGCTTTGTGCATGCATCCATGCACTAGCCAGGCTCAATTCTGGTTAGCTTTCGCAAAGAATTAGTATTTATACTGAAGAATCCTTTAAGCTATAAAGCTATTTTTCACAGATGTCTAGTCCCCTGCATTTTTCAGTGGTCACCTGCTAGGCACCGTTTTGAATTATTCCACGAATACGTTTTTTCGCTCAAATTTCTTGTCGGTAGATTTTTCTTCAATTTCCACTTGCTTCTTTGTTTCTACTTCTTTTAATGTCACGGAATGGCTGATCCTGATCCTCTTGCGTTCTCACCCAGTTCAACAAAGTGAACCTGATAAACTGGAAACGGTGGACCAACGAGACTAACAGGGGTCGGCGGGTGCTTGTGGTTAGTTCCGGCACCGTGGTACCAGCGCAGCGCCAATTTGTTTGGTGTCGACGTCCTGCCACTAGCAGCAGGGATTTTTTGCGCGCGAGCGCCGGCGAGCCGCAAGGCAACAGCGTACCGCTTCGGCTCATTCACGGCTAACGGTGCAGGCAACGTATCCACACAAATCAATACGCGCGCACACACGCGCGCACACGCGCATGCACGCACACGCGCAGACAACTATAGGCGGTGGCAGCCGCGCTGAGGAAGATTGAGGCCCCAGCCTCGGCACTGGCCCCTTAAGTAGGCGGCGGGGGCAAGCAGTAAAAAAAAACTCTGCCAAGTGCAGAGCGTTACATGACGCATTGCCGCGGCTACAATCGACCGCGTCGGCTCGTGCGCGGGGCTAGGCGGAGATTGTCGAATCGCAGGACCATGACGGGTGGCGATGGCTCGGGGGAGGCGGCATTCATCCAGCAGTGGATTGACAGTGGCCGAATGATAACGGTGAAAGTCAACACATGCTGAATGCATTAACTGTGCACGTTGCGCACGTACACTCTATTTACTGTGTACGTACTTGTACACGATATCCACAACGCGCAGCGGGTCAATAAAATGACAACCACTTTGTGGGAAGCCAACAGCGAGCGGTTGTCTTATGGGTGGACTGGCACCAAACTTTGGAATGTGGAATTCTGGAGGAGGCAGACTCGGACTTTGTAATTGTGTGCATGCTGTAGCACACAAAGAACTTTATTGGATGGCGTAAGTGTTCGTGTGTGTGTGTGTGTGTGCGTAGCGGTAGTGCAGCGATTAGCGCGCTTTGCTAAAAGACCGGCAACCCGGGTATGATCCCCGCTCACGGCCACCAACACCAATGATGATTATTACCTGAACTGGTCCTGGGCCTCCCCTAGGTCAACTCAGCCTCAAATGAGTACCTGGTCGTGGTGTGTAAACATTGCCACCGGGGAGACAAAGGCGGCGGGGCATGGTGTTGGTCACCCACCACCTCGTGCGCAGTGCCGGCCTTCATAGGAGCCCACTAACAGCACTTTCCTCAACAGTCTGTTAAGGCTACACGGGGGATCTTTGTCTTTGTATACACAGGAGCCACGTAATATCACTATTTATTTTAGCGTTTGCCCCTGCCCCTCCCTGGCACCTTTATGACAGTTCCTCCCTAGATGAGGCAACCTCACAATCAAAATTTCAAAATCATCCTAATAGTAGATATCGGGTGTCGTTTTGAAGGTAATTGTCTACAATTAAAAAAAACACATGACTTATTTACGGAAAAAGTCACCGGATTGACACACACGCGAAAATTAACGTGCAAACCGCCACCCCAGCGTGGACGAAAACGCCAGCTTGTTTCCGAGTACGTCCAAAAACGTGGCAGTACTTTGAACATTCCCCCCTCATCGGAAGAGACGGACAAATTAATGATATCCCAATTACGGCTCCAATTGGCCGACACGCTACGCCCAAGCGAAAAAAAAAAACTTCACAATTACACCAATGACGACCCACACACCTTTAAAGCGTCCGAATTCATGGAACTGCCCATCGACTCTCCGCCAGCCCTTCGCCCCCCCCCCACCCCACTCCCTCCACGGGAGCGGCGTAAGCAGACTCGAGAGGCGACGACAATAATCCGTAATCCGGAGGAGCGCGTCCCTCGCTCGGCGGGGGTGGGCGCCGCTCTGAAGCTTTAGTTCCGCGATGGCGCCACCTCGTCCGCACTCGCATGCCACCGTCACGCATCTCGGCGGCGGCGCGGGGATTTGGAGTGGGGACGGCACGAGCAACAGCGGCGCCGCCGCCGCCGCCCACCCCCGCCGCCACAAGATCAGGGGCGTCCGTCCGACCTCAAACCCAGCTGCGCCAGCTGCAATCATGAGCTTTTAGTTGTTTACTCAATGTGAAACACCGGACGTTTAGCTTTTAATTCGAGGCGAGAGGTGACGGCGCGGCACTGCAACCGCTTGCTTACAACACTGCTGGCGGCAGGGAGCTCTGCGGGAGCGAACTCTCACGGGTATTTGGCCTACTCTTCCAGGCCAACCAGAAGGCTTGCAAGAGTTGGGTGCACCCACACTGAACCCACCACACGAGACCGGCCAACGGACTCATTGTTGTTTCTCCTGGTTTGCAAGTCCGGTTTGCTAACAATCCCACCACTTTTAACTGTAACGTTTGTTTAACAACACAACGGAAAATTGTTATTTCCGTAACAAAGCCCGCTATGCAAATGCGGTAGAGAAAACAAATCATTTATTTGGGTCAACTTTCAACTTGCGTGCCAAGAAATTGTTTCCATGTTCACCTATGCCTATTTTTCATTTCCGTGCAACACAGCTGTTTTATTCAAAGCCTTGTGAAGCCAATGATGTTTCATAATAAAAGCAATCAACAGCGTGAACTTACTATTGTTAACAAAGAAACCCACGTGCAAGCTCGCCTAGGGGAAAAAAACCCCCCCAGTGATCAAAAGCTAGCGAGAGGCACCGAGCCAGCAACTTGCTGACCTGCCCCCTTCCCGGAAATCTGTGAAAAAGAGCTTCGTAGCTCATCGGATTCTTCCAGCCTAAATAAAGCTGATGATTCTGAGATGTGATGCTGCCCTACTCAAGCGGATTTCAAGCAAGAACAGTCGTTACTCGCACCACTCTCGTAGCTTGAAGGCGGTCAAGGAAGGTGCTACGTTGACGCCTTTGCAAGGTTTACAGAACATTTCCGACTCGAGCCTGCCGTGACAACACCCACCAGCGCTATGGGCCACACCCAAACCCTCACTGGCCATCACCAACTCGCCGCCGGCACGGGCCCAAGACACGCCACGACGGGGATGAGGTTCTTGCCGCGGCCTCCTCACCTCGCTGGTGCGGAAGACGACGCGGTAGAGGTACTGCGGACCGTGCGAGCTCTCCTTCTCACGGCCCTCGTCGATCTTCTCACGCCGGACGCTCACCGCCACGGGGCCCAGGTTCTCGTCAACGCCGAAATAGTTCTGGTGGTCTGCGTGACACGGCGGAGGGCGGAACAGGCGCAACGGCAGCGTGAGCGGGCCAGCGACGCGGGTTCGTCAGCCCTGAAGCTGGTTGTGTTGTTTTTGCGTTTTTTTTACACAAATATAAAAGTTTAATCCCACCTGTGTTAAAAGACACGCATGCTCAAAAAAGCCCTCGAGCATCCAATGTTCATTGCCAAAAAACACATCCCGGTGAGGTGGATTTGCCTCGAGGCAGCATCTCTCGCAGACTTCCAAAAATGGCTCCGAATTCACGCCACGCACCCCCTTCATTATAATTGCCAGTTTAACAACAGAAACCTCAGCTGTGACAGGTCGGTAGCCGACGAGAAAATTACATTCGATTAAAGGTGATTTCACCGCTATCGACATGAGCCGTGTGTGCAATTTTCTCCCTCGACTAGAGTGAAACAAAACTGAAAAGAGGAAAATCATGGCAGAACGTTCTCTAAAGCAGTTGTTACGTTACTTTTAACCAAATGTCATCATCAACGGTCGCGGATAAATGTATCCGTGTTCCCAAACACGGCAAGGACAAGCGAGGTCTCATGCCGTTGTCATCACAGACGTTGAAAAAATAAATGTGGTGAGCTTTGAGCAACGAGCAGAGCGCTCCGATGCATTCTCGCAGTGCGCCGCGACTCGCTCGGCACGAAGTCCGACGTTTTGCTCCACGTGCTGGGAGCTTGTTCAGGCACCCGACTTGGCAGTTCACCCCCAAGCGGAGCTACAGTGAAGGAAAAAAGTATTTGATCCCCTGCTGATTTTGTACGTTTGCCCACTGACAAAGAAATGATCAGTCTATAATTTTAATGGTAGGTTTATTTGAACAGTGAGAGACAGAATAAAAACAACAAAATCCAGAAAAAAGCATGTCAAAAATGTTATAAATTGATTTGCATTTTAATAAGGGAAATAAGAATTTGACCCCCTCTCAATCAGAAAGATTTCTGGCTCCCAGGTGTCTTTTATACAAGTAACGAGCTGAGATTAAGAGCACACTCTTAAAGGGAGTGCTCCTAATCTCAGCTTGTTACCTGTATAAAAGACTCCTGTCCACAGAAGCAATCAATCAGATTCCAAACTCTCCACCATGGCCAAGACCAAAGAGCTCTCCAAGGATGTCAGGGACAAGATTGTAGACCTACACAAGGCTGGAATGGGCTACAAGACCATTGCCAAGCAGCTTGGTGAGAAGGTGACAACAGTTGGTGCGATTATTCTCAAATGGAAGAAACACAAAAGAACTATCAATCAATCTCCCTCGGCCTGGGGCTCCATGCAAGATCTCACCTCGTGGAGTTGCAATGATCATGAGAACGGTGAGGAATCAGCCCAGAACTACACAGGAGGATCTTGTCAATGATCTCAAGGCAGCTGGGACCATAGTCACAAAGAAAACAATTGGTAACACACTATGCCGTGAAGGACTGAAATCCTGCAGCGCCCGCAAGGTCCCCCTGCTCAAGAAAGCACATATACATGCCCGTCTGAAGTTTGCCAATGAACATCTGAATGATTCAGAGGACAACTGCGTGAAAGTGTTGTGGTCAGATGAGACCAAAATTGAGCTCTTTGGCATAAACTCAACTCGCCGTGTTTGGAGGAGGAGGAATGCTGCCTATGACCCCAAGAACACCATCCCCACCATCGAACATGGAGGTGGAAACATTATGCTTTGGGGGTGTTTTTTTCTGCTAAGGGGACAGGACAACTTCACCGCATCAAAGGGACGATGGACGGGGCCATGTACCGTCAAATCTTGGGTGAGAACCTCCTTCGCTCAGCCAGGGCATTGAAAATGGGTCGTGGATGGGTATTCCAGCATGACAATGACCCAAAACACACAGCCAAGGCCACAAAGGAGTGGCTCAAGAAGAAGTACATTAAAGTCCTGGAGTGGCCTAGCCAGTCTCCAGACCTTAATCCCATAGAAAATCTGTGGAGGGAGCTGAAGGTTTGAGTTGCCAAACGTCAGCCTCGAAACCTTAATGACTTGGAGAAGATCTGCAAAGAGGAGTGGGACAAAATCCCTTCTGAGACGTGTGCAAACCTGGTGGCCAACTACAAGAAACGTCTGACCTCTGTGATTGCCAACAAGGGTTTTGCCACCAAGTACTAAGTCATGTTTTGCAGAGGGGTCAAACACTTATTTCCCTCATTAAAATACAAATCAATTTATAACATTTTTGACATACGTTTTTCTGGATTTTGTTGTTGTTATTCTGTCTCCCACTGTTCAAATAAACCTACCATTAAAATTATACACTGATCATTTCTTTGTCAGTGGGCAAACGTACAAAATCAGCAGGGGATCAAATACTTTTTTCCCTCACTGTACAAGGTCGACAGAACGTCTAACAGCACGCGGCGCAACCCTCAAAATGCGTTTGGCGAAGCCCTACGGGGCAAGCGCGAAAAACAACCCATGCACGTTAAGCACGAACACCGAGGGTCGCTCTTCCTCATCGAGCAGGCGCCGTTTGCGACGCGAGCCCCGAGCCGTGCTTCGCTTCGTGCGACTGAACCGACGAAGGCAGCCACAACGGCGACGAAGAGAAAAAAAAAGAGGAACGCAAAATGCGTTGCTTCCTTCACAAGGAACTTGTGCGTCCTCACCGCACGCTCACCAGCTCCGGTGGGCGTGCGCAGGCCACCCACACGGCGACGGCGTTCGTTCCCCCCGGTTCTAACCGCACGCTTGCATTTTCTCATGCGGACGTAGCCCAACAGCTAATACCGAGCTAAAACTGGTGATGGCATCCGACTGGCTTTTTTTCTTTTCATACACCCGGAGAGTTGACATTGCAATGTCAAGGCGGGCGGGCGAGCGAGCGAGCGAGCCAGTGGACGGCTTCTGGAGTCGCCCGGTGAATATTTTCTGTCGGGGAATGTTCCAAGTGGACAGTCTAATAGTGGGCAATGGTAACGACGGTGATGGCGTTGCTGCTGATAAAATGATGATGACTGCGAGCACTTGACTATTCGTGATGCTTATCAATTATAATGCGAGAACTGCACTCAAAAACATCACACACGCGGACTATGACGGCATTGAGTGGAGTTTTAATCCCAGTTGTGACTAACCTCAGTGGCGAGTGCCATCCGAACCAATCACGGGCCTCACCCATTTCACCAATGCACACAATGACCATCGTGGTGAAGTACGGTCAAGAAGCTACAGAGCTCTTCATCCAGCAGTGGATCAATAAAATGGCCGTAAATTGCTACCGTTATTATTTTACCTTCGTACATGGAGGTCACCACCTTGGCAGCTTCGCCAATAACCGGACAGGTGGCGGCGGCCGAGAAACAATCGGTGGCCCCAGATCATTAGAGCTTAACCGGTCTCGTGGCACGTGAACGCACCTTGCCCCTCACTGGAATCTAAAGAATCTCTCCAGCCATTGTGCAGATGTTTCATAATACACACACACACACGCGCACCACATTACTGAGCAATGGGCTTTGCGAGTGTCACCGCAGGAAATAACAAGCTTAATTAAAGACGAAATACACACCACCTCGGCCAGATTTCGTCTGTGTCCTGGCGCGCGACCTTTCGCGGCACAGCACCGACGGGCGGTGGTGGTGTGGCGTGCACACCGCCACCACCACCGCTACCACCAACGGGCGGCGGCGGTGGTGGTGGTGGCGGTGTGTTGGTGCGTTACCGCGGCGATCCATCACCGAGCGGATACCTCTCCCTGCCAAACAAACCAAGATGTACGCCTCCCTTAATCTGCATGAAATTGCGTGAATCGGGCTAACAGACGATAAACTCACAGCAGCTCCTCCGCATGCGCTCGCCGTAGCTATGGCTACCGATGCACCTATTTTCCAGCTGTAGGTGGTGCCGAGCGATCAGCAGCCCGAATGGAAATCGCCAGTTAAACGACACTGTCCAAAAACAACGCACCACTGTCAATTCACTGCTGAATGAAGGCCTCCCTAATGCCAAGGTTGGTCATAATAATAATGTAATAAGTTTGATTTATAAAGCGCCCTTTAACAATCGTTCTCAGGGTCCTTTCACGATCCTTCATGATGCTGGTCAGCGTTTGTCGGTGAATGGGGGGTGGGGGTCCCAGAACCGGTCAGGCTTCGCTCGCCGCTGGCGTGAGCAGTGTCTCCGAACGGAACTCAGGTCGCCGGTTGTGCAGCACAGCCGTGCGCCAACTTCAGCGCCGCCACATCGATAGCGTTCGCTAGTTCGACTTGCAGCACGCCACGCTGTTTTGCTCGCTCTCAGAGGAGAGAGCGGGGGAACGACCTGGGAGGCCACGAGGCAGAGCCACGCACTGGGAGGGAAAAAGGCAGCGGGTCCAGGTGGCGAACCGGTGACAACTTCCCTCCCAAGCTCCGTCCAGTCCGGAGTCTGCCGTCGGAATGAGTGATATCGCCAAAGCGAGCGTATCCACTGCACGGACTGCTGTTTGGTGACATCGTGACGCCCCTCTCAACGTTTACCGCTTGAATGAAAACCACGGCTGAGAACGTGACTTGTGAAGAGAGCGGCGGAGCGAGAGCCAGGCTTGACTGGCCGATCAAAGCCAACACAATCAAAGGAGATTAATTAATCGATCAAAGCACACGTGTGCACAAATTATCGTGGAAACCTTATTGCAGGCGGGGTGTGCTGTGGAGCTCCCGAAAACAAGACAAATATTCTTGTTTAAAATAAATTTTCACGTCTTAAGACCCACTCCGAGGACAGCCCAGTTTAAATCCCTTTCACAGCATCGCGTTTTACGCAGCATTCAAGAGATAACTACGCATAGAGGTTCTTAAAATAAAGGGCTTACGTGAGGATACATTTCCCGGATCATTAGCATGCGAATAAAAATTGTCATCCCTTGCCGTGAGAAACAATTTCCAATGATCACTCCATTTACTTCTCTCCCTAGGGTTCCGAACGCCTTGAAACTAAAAAAAATAAAATAATTCCGGGGAAGCGCAGCATTGACTTTAGATGAAGCATAGATGG